GGAAGGTGGGTCCCTTCTCCTCAGGGGCTAGGCTGCAAGCAGGTTGGGGAGTCACTGCTATTCCCAAGGCTTTGGAGCTTGGGGTGCTGGGCTTTCTCCATCAAGGTCTGAGGCAGGGATGGGGAACCTGCAGCCTCCAGGTCACACATGGCCATCTGGGTCCTCAAGTGCGGCCCTTTGACCTGGCCAAGTCTTACAGAACGAATCCTTTTATTTAGGAGATTTATTCCGTGAAGTTTGGATTGGGTCAAAAGGCCGCACTTGAGGACCTAGAGGACTGCATGTGGCCTCAGGGTTACAGGTACCCCACCCCTGCATGGAACAATTGGAATGCTCCTTTCCACACCTGTAGGCCCCCACCTCTAACAAAAGGGGTGTGGTGCTTTTTTCCAACTCTTGTCTAGGGACAGAGTTCATCTCTGGTGGCCCTTTCGAACAGAGATTTTATAAAATGTCCACAGTAACAAGACTGGTAAGGACAGCAGACCAGACTCTAAAGTTGGTCAGTCAATAATCATTTATGAAGGCCCTGCTGTATGTCAGGACCTGTGCTGAGCACTGGGGATACAAAGACAAAGGACCCAGTCTAACCGGGGGAGGGGAAAAACACGTAACTAAATATGGTGCCAAGCACGCTTAGAGACGATGGACTGGAGCTAAGCACTAGAGGAAAGGCTCCAAGGCTCTGGGGGCTGGGAACCGCGGAGGAGGGAGGCTGAAGGGCAGCCCTCCTTCAGCCGGACAATATCTGCTCTCCTGGATGGATGCCATCAATCCACTGGGGAGCCACAGACCTATAGCTCTGGAGGGCCAAGGCATCTCGCCAGCCTGCAGTCAAACCCAGACCTGAAAGGACTCCTCCCTCTAACGTCCCTGACAAATGGCCATCAGGCCTCTGCTTAAGGACCTCCAAGGAGGAGGCCCACCCCCCTAACCCTCCCACCCAGCCTGCATTTCTTAAGTGCTATGGGCCAGGCTGTGCTCCCACTCCCCTCTGGGCAGCCTCTCCTGGTGAGGGAGCTTTTGCTGACCTCTAATCCAAGCCTGACTTTTTGTAGCCCCAGCCCATTGCCCCTGGTTCTGCCCTTCGGGGCGCAGGAAAGTAAGCCCTTCTCACAGTCCTGTTTGTAGCTGACTCTGCTGGGTGCATCAGCCCCAAGATACCACACAGCATCCTGGCGGCTGTCCACAATAGCCTGGACAAAATGTGAAGGCTGACCAGGAGCCCCTTAGGAAAAGCACCTCAGGGTCTCCCAGCGGCCCACTGCCATTCTCCTCCTTCTCCAGCCCCAGACCCTGAGCTTAATAAAATCCATTTGTCTCACACCCATCCTAAGTTTTGTCTCCTTGATTAAGTTCCCATGGGCAGCTCTACCCAGAGGAGGCTTAGGAAATACAGACAAAGGGCACCGTGGCCTGTAAGCTCATCAGAGTGATGGGGGTCTCCCCTTGGGCCTAAGGTCCCAGCAAAGCTTCAGCTCTTGGGAAGCCCACCAGGCCCTTCCCTCAGACCTCCCTGCTTTAGACCTTCAAGGCTCCAAGTCATCACATGCTCTGAAGGTCTCCAACCCTGTCTCCCCTCACTCTGACAACCTCTCCCTCTGGTCCACCTGGTCTGTTTGCAGCAAGGTACCCTGAGGGGGAGACAACACAGTGCTCGCCAGGTGAGTCAAAGGACCCCCACTCCCTCGACCACCATGTCCCCTCAGAGTCTGAGTGGGACCCACAGCCTCATTGCCTTGGGGGTTTGACTTGCTGGGTTCCCCTTGATACTGGGAACCAGGGAGGGAGGGCTCCCAGGGAAAGGCCTGTGATGTAGAAACAGAAGTCATCAAATCATATTTCTTTAAAAGAAAAGAAATACTGTATAAAAAAGGAGGCACACGAGCTTTTTTTAAAAAAAACAACTAATTATAAAGTGAATATTGAACATCAACCAATTAGACTTGCTTTGCAACTGTTTCTAATTAGATGAATTCCACCAAGAAAACATAAAGCTGTGGGCCCGGAGTCAGGAAGATGTGAGTTTGAATCTGGCCTCAGTTTCCTCAACTGTAAAAGGGGGATCATTACAACACCTACCCCCCAGAATTGTTTTGAGGCTCAAATGAGATATTTGAAAAGTACTTTGATTGGAACACTGATACATTGTTGGTGGAGTTGTGAAATGATCCAACCATTTTGGAGAACAAGTTGGAACTACGCCCAAAGGGCTACAAAACTGTGCATACCCTTTGATCCAGCAATAGCACTTCTGGGGCTCTATCGCAAAGACATCATACAGATGGGAAAAGGACCCACACGTACAAAGATATTCCCAGCAGCTCTTTTTGGGGTGGCCAAGAATTGGAAATTGAGAGGATGCCCATCCATTGGGGAATGGCTGAGCAAGTTGTGGTATATGAATGTAATGGAATGCTATTGTGCTGTAAAAAATGATGAACAGGCTGACTTCAGAAAAACCTGGAAAGACCTGTATGGACTGAGGCTGAGTGAAGTCAGCAGAACCAGGAGAACGTTGTACACAGTAACAGCCACGTTGTGCAAGGACTAAGATTGTTAAACTGAACCCTTCTCAGCATTATGAGGACCTAAGACATCTCCAGAGGCCTCAGGATGGAAAATGCTGTCCACATCCAAAGAAAGAACTATGGAAGTCGAATCGCTGTCACTTATTTTTACCTTAAGTTGAGTTTAGTTTCATCTTTCTGATGGTTCCTCCTACTGGTTTTAATTTTTACTTACAACTTCACTAATGTGAAAATATGTTTAATGGGTATGTAAATGTAAAGCCTGTATCAGATTGTGCGCCATCTTGGGGAGGATGGGGGGGGGAGGAAGGGGGAGAAAAATTTTCAACTCAAAAGCGTATGGAAGTGATTGTTGATAAATCAAAATAAATTAATAAAATTTTTAAAAAAAGAAAAAAAAAAGAAAAGTACTTTGCCACCTTAAAGTACCATATAAAGAAATGTTAGCTATTGCTACAAAAAAAGGAGGTGTGTAAAATCAGTGAGGCCTAAGTGGGGAGATCTGGTCCAAGCAGCTTCTGACCAACCCCCCTGCTTGGCTAATAGTGCCTGACATTACTGTTTGATTATCACAACCCCAAGCCGTTTTACAGAGGAGGAAACAGGTCACACGGAGAGTACCCCTGAGATCTTCTGACTGGAGTCCCGCCCTCTACCCATCATGCCAGGATGGCCCCGGGATGTCAGCTCCCTGAGGGCAGGCTTGATCCGTCTTCACAGCACCACAGAGAAGGGTCTGAGGGCCAGGTCCCCAGTCATGCCCTCAGCAGGAGGGCCTCTCCTACCCACCTATGCATTAAAGATGACCCCGGCATGCAGGGAGGGGCTGGGGGCAGCTCTCTGATCCCAGGGAGATGAAGCGGTCAGGGAGCATCCTCTCTCCCCTGCTCTGGCCCCTCCATCCCACCCACCTCCAGGCCCTAGGAGCTCCCCAGGCCAACCTTTAGACTCTGTCCCTACCCTACAGAGCAGCCTGGGGAGGTGAGAATGGAGGGTGGGGCCAGGGGACCCTCAGTCCTGGCCACACCCACACACCAGGTGCTGCTTTTCTGCGGTTACATCATGCTCGGCCACAAAGGCGGCCCTGGTGAGTCACTGAACAAGGCTGCTTAATCAGCCCCGTGGGAGACAGGCACTGTCTTTAGTGAGTCTGATTTCTTCTCGGTTTCTGGGGAGATCAAAAATTCAAATGTATATATTTCTATAAAGGGGAGCTGCTTCAACTCGCTTGTCTGTCCTCCCCAGGAAAAGAGCCGGCCCAGGTTCCCATCTGGGGTTTGGGGCATCAGAGACTCCTGAGGGCATCGAGTCTAACCCCCGTACTTTTGTAGACAGGGAGGGTCCTGCAGGGAGTGCCAGAATTTGAACACGGCTCTCTGACTCTCTGACTCAGCATGTTTTTCGCTGCCTCCCGATATGGCTCTAATTCTGGAATCCCCGGAGCCCCTGCCGGTCCCCTCGCGTCTGAGGTGCTCCCCCCAAGTCAGCCCCTGATTCTGCACCGTCTCCCCCGGAACAGGCCCCCGCCCCACCCAGAACTCAGGCTTCCTTTGCCCAGCTAAATAGATGTGATCAAGATTGCTCACATTTCTAAGGGCTTCCCAGCTCCCGCTCACTTGAGCCTTAGACCTGCCCTGGGAGGTGGGCAGGGTGGGGCAGGCACTGTCCTCACTCTCTATGAGAGTGGGGACTTTGGCTCAGGGCTTCTGCCCCCAAGGCCAAGGACAGAAAGGCATGCGTTAGCCCCCTTTAAGGCTGAGCTCCCCTTTGGGGAAACAAGCCCGGGGAGGGAGGCAGGGAGGAAATGTCCTACAGGGGACAGAGCAGAGGCTTAGCATCGAGTCCTGACAGAAAAAAAGCCAGGCCTTTCCCAGGCCTCCTGACCCAGGACTTCAGAGGGCATCCACTCTACGCCCCCTCACTTTACAGACGAGGAAACTGAGGCTCACATGGCCATAGTCACACAGCTAGTAAGCGTTAGGAGGCAGGATTTGAACCCAGGTCCTCTGGTTTCAAGTCCAGAGTTTCTTCTACTACACCATCAGACTGTCCTAGGCTGTTTAGCCCGGGAAGGGACCTCAGGGATCGTGTTATCCAACCCTCTTATTTTACAGATGGGGACCCTGAGACAGGCAGGTTCAGCTAGTAATTGTGAGAGCTCAGATTCACCCCCGGTTTCTCCAGCCTCCAAGCCTTTTCCTGGCCCCTCCTCGGCTTTTCCTCTGGCCACCAGACTATGATGGGAGCTAGCTCTCCCCTCCACAGACCCCAGGCTTCAGGGCTCTCCTGGGCTCCCCTCATCTGCTGCTAGCTTCTTGGAGCTATCCAGCATTTCCCTTCTCTGCAGTCCCTCTGTCTCGGCATCTCCCCAGTGAGTGCTCAGTCCCATGGTCCTGGGCCAGCCCTCCCTGGCAGGCTGCTGCCCTCCCGGAAAGCTTGGTCATATTAGGAAAGTCCAGCCACGTGGGCACCCCGGGAGCCTGGGATTCTGAGCAGCCCGAGGGTTTCAGAGAAACTGAAACTGGGCTCTGGGGGTGGAGTGGTCACCAGAGGTTTAAACACTTTGCTTCCTGCAGCCGGGGCTGGGAACTTGGAAGCTGCAGCTAGCAAGAGGACCCCCTGGGTCTCTCGTTCACTAGGCCTACCCATCAGGAACCAGGCCATGCACCTGTGCCGTGGGGCACCCCCCTCCAAGGAAGGGAAACTTCTGCTGGTGATGGTGAGTGGCTGGACAAGGGAAGCGGGGTTTGGGAAAGGAGGGAATCAGGAAGATCAGGCAAGGGTCTATCTATGCCCTAGATAGGTGGTTTCTAGTTGGGGATGAAAACTTGACCCTAGCTCTCACGCCTAAAGTTCTCTGCCTCCATCTTAGGGGCAGAGAGCCGTGGTAGATTCCAAGTTGGAAGACCTGTGTTCTAGACCTGACTCTGCCACTAACTTGGTTCAAGGGCCTGCTCTGTGCCTCAGTTTCTGTTTGTGTACAACAAAGAGGTTGCTCTCTTAGGAGTCTTCCCATCTCTAAGAATCTAGAAAGCCGAATATTCACCCCATCCAGGCTGTCCCATCCCTGAACTTTGCTTGCCTTTCAAACCCGATGTAGTTTTTTCTCTAACTTAGCCCTGGTTCCTGTACCAGAGCCGAGGCTTCCTTCGCACCAGTTCTGGCTTCCTCTTTTCCTCTTCCAGATAGCCTGCATCCCCTTTGCACTCGTCATCCATTTATCTGTCAAACATTAACTGGATGGGGCACAAGATGTTTGATGGACGAGGCCCAGAGAGGCAAAAGCTAGCTTAGAACCCAAGACTTTGGGCTTTGGGTTGCTTTCCCATCTTTTCTCCTAGTCCAATGTTGGACTTGGGTTCAAATCTCACCCCTTTGCTTACTCTGTGACCCTGGGCAAGTCTCTTCACTCCTCCCAGACTCAGTTTCCTCATCTGTAAAATGGGGATAATAATAGTTCTTTCCTCCCCTGGCTCTGGGTAAGGCTCAAATGAGTATTTTGCAAAGTATTTTGCAAAATTCATAGTGTTACAAAAGTCTGCCCCAAGCGAGACTCCTCAGATAGGACAGATGCTGCCTGGGTCAGCACTCAGAGAGGGGGATGGAGCAACCAGCTGTGTCCTTCTGAACCTGCCTCATACAGATAATAATTAATAGTAATTACGGCTGGAAGGGAGCTTGGAACTCATCTAATCCAAGCTCTTTTGCCTGACGGGTTAGGAACCCGAGGTCCTCTCTTCGTAAGTGCCTACTGTATGCTGAGCTAAAAGAAAAGCTAGAAGTCTCCCTGTACCTGGCAAATCACCAGGTACAAACAAGGCCTAAACAGAATAAATTGGAAATAATAACAAGAGAGCAAGCTGTGGAATTAAGAGGCTGGGAGAGGAAGGGCCTTGCCCACGCCACATTGATAGGAAGTAGCAAGTGACCAGATCCTCTGGCCCCAACCCGGATTCCTTTCACCCTCCAGCAGCCCACCTTTGCTTGGATTCAATGAATGTCTAACATGTTGGTAACTGGCACAGGGAAAGGGCACAGCAGGTCCACTTTGCAGAGGGTGAACCTGTCCACGCTGCTCCAATCAGGATAGGCTTCTTGGAGGAGGCGGGCATCCTGAGGGACATCCTGGAGCAAGCTGGGGGCACCGTAGGTGGGCTCATCCCTGGCAGAAACCCAGCTCCATGGTAGAGCAAGGACTTCTTGCCCCCAGGACCCCAGGGAGGTGGACAGACAGCTGAAGCGGAGACAGAAGAACCGGGTGGCAGCCCAGCGGAGCCGGCAGAAGCATATGGATAAGGCGGATGAGCTGCACCAGGTCTGGGTCTCCCTTCCCTGGTCACAGGACCCTTCCCCTGCTCCTTCTCTTCCCTCTTCCTTCTTCCACCTCTTCCACCTCTTCCACCTCTTCCCTCCCCAGGCTCCATTCGTAGAATCCAGCAGCCTTGAGCTGGGAGGGTCCTCAGAGGGCGTGTAGTCCAACCCCTACCCGAGCCCAGGTCCCCTCTACAACACTCCTAGCCTTTGCTCCAATACCTCAGGTGACAGGGCCTCACTGCTTTCCAAGAGTTCATCCCCGTTCTCAGTGTCAGCAGCTTTTCCTGACATCAGCCTCCTGCTCTCCATCACTCTCAGTTTTGCCCTCTGGGACCAAGCAGACAGGCCTGATCCCTCTCTCAGGGATTAGTTTTTCAGATGCTTGAACTCAGCTCTTCCAGGGAGGCCTCAGTTTGGGGTCCAGAATCTGGGGCTCTTCCTGGATCCCGGGAAGCATGTTAACAGAGCAGAAGCCACCTTCCCTCATCCTTCACAGGTCACCTTTCTACAGCACATTAGCAGGTCCCACAAGGATAATGACCCCTGTTTTAGGAGGGGACATGTGATGTTCTTGGGCTCACCCGGCTCCAGAGAAGCAGCCCAAACCACACTCAGCTCAGTCTTGGGCCTGGGGTCCGGGGCTTAGCTCTGGGCCGCAGATTTTAGGAAGGACTCTGACAAGCCAGAGAGAGTCTGGAAGTGGGGGACCAGGATGGTGGCGGGCCTGGAGATCATGGCATAGGAGGAGCTGGGAGTATTTAGCTTGGAGAATCAATCAATCAATCAACATTTATTAAGCACCTGCTATATGCCAGGCCGGCACTGTGCTAAGTGCTGGGGATACAAAAAGAGGCAAAAGATGACCCCGCCCTCAAGAAGCTCCCAGTCTAATGGGGGAGGAGAAAACTCAGAAGGGTTCCAGTGACTGGACTGACAGCAGATGCCTCATTCTGGCCCAGAGGTCCCTCATCCTCTGGCCACAGAAGGGAGGTGGCTTACGCTCTCCTGTCCCGGGCCATCCCTGGGTTTTGTTTTTTGTTTTTATTATTATTTAGAGCTCACTCTCCTTTTGCCATCTTCTCATTACGTGGTTGCGGTCATCACACATCTCGCTTTTTGGCCTCTGTTTATTCTGACCTGCCTCCTTCCACGCAAGCCTTCCCATTCATATTGCACCATAACAGCCCATTGTGTTCATGGACCAAGATTTTTTGAACCTGCCCCCGGTGAACGGGCTCCCGCTTCTGTTTCTAGCTCTTGGGTCTGGCTACCACAAAAAGGGCTGCTATGAATATTTTGGTCTGTATCAGCGTTGTTCTTTGCTCTCTTTGGCCAGCTCTGACCACCATGGGGTATACCCCTAATAGATGGACCGTTGGCTCAGAGAGTACGAGCGGCTTCCTTGTTTTTCCTGCCTAATTCCAAATTAAAATCTGGAGCAGCTGGACCCTTCACTGCTCCAGCAGCTGACCAGCAGCATGTGCCTGCCTTCCCACGGTCCCGCCAGCATGGACCAGCCTAGGGACTGGAGGGGCTGGGAGTCGCCATTTCGTCCTGGCTTCCTGGCTCTGATGAAGCCTCTCCCTTGTTTCTTTCTGGCCCCAGGAACACGAGTGGCTGGAGAGGGACAACCTGGCCCTTCGGAAGGAGATCTGGTCACTGCAGGCCGAGGTGAAGCGCTGGCTCCGGGCCTTGGAGGATCATCAGCATGTCTGCCTCCTGGCTATGCTTCCTGCCTCTGCCCAGCCTCATCCTGACTGCTGGAGCCAGACCGAGACTGCCCAGGCCAAACAGCGAGCCCTTCTTTCGACCCAGACCTTTCCCCTGCCTCTGCAGGCCTCTGCCTCCCCTTCTGCTCAGCCTCCTCCTCCATCTTCTCCGATGCAGGCCCCCGATCCCCCCAGCCTGTTCTCAACTCACTCCCTCTCCTCCCCTCTGACACCTTTCTTGGTCACCTCCTCTCTATCAAGGTCTCCCTCTGGGGCTGCCTTGACTCAGACCCAGGGGCCTTCCAGTCTCCTGGCCTCTTCCTCCGGTCTCAGCCCTCGCCTCCCAGCTCCCCCACAGGAGTCTGCCTGTCTGCTGCCCCTTAGGGCCAGAAACCTGAGAGAGGACAAGACAGAAGACGAGTTGGGTGGTCCTTCAGCCACCCCCCACCACTAGGGGAGCGGGCAGAGCTGGGCCTGTGTCCTGTCCTCTGTCCAGTTTTGACTTGTCCTCCGTTCTCTTTCCCTAGCATGTCACACTAAAGCTCTGACCTCCTTCCCTGGCCTCTGAGGCTGCGTCACCCTGGCCCCAGCCCTCACTAGCCACCTTCCTTCCCCTATTCTGGTTCCTTTGTCAGCAGAACCCTGACCCAGAGAAAGACAAAGCTGCCCGAGACCGAGGAAGGTCAGTGTCGTCAGCTCCCCGTCCAGGGCCCGGCCAGCCCGCCCTGGGACAGAACACGAGCAGCCCAGGTCATCTCCTGCATGGACGCCCCCTCCTTGGCTCTGGGGCCAGAATTCCTGCTGCCTGTGGGCCTGGCAGCATTTAGGGGCGAGCTGGGGAGGCTTACCAGGATGTTTATCGGATGTTTATTCCACTGCACCTCCCCCCACTTTTGGCTTTGAAGGCCTAGGAGAACCTGCTAGCGGCAGGGTGGGGGTCTGATTGCTGCCGGCTGTCCAGCCAGCTCCCTAGAGGAATGGGCCTGCTTCAGAAAGTCTGCTGATGGACACTCCCAGCCCTGCTGGCCATCAACCGAAGCAGCCTAGCTTTTCTTTCCCCTCCTTGTGTCACTGAAGGAAAACTGTCCTCTTCTGGGCCTCAGTTTCTCAAAGTGTAAAATGGAGGTGGGCCCAGAGGCCACCTATGGTCCATCCTCTGTGACTCCCCCATTCCATGATTCTCTGAATCTTCTCACTGCCCCTAACTTTGCTGTCTGATGCCGGACAAGGAGGAAACACGGTGGAAAGAGGCTGAGTCAGGAGACCAGGGATCTGGCTGGATACAGAGGCAGGAAGCACTCTGGAAGGCACTGAGTTCTTTAGACTGGAGCCTAGAGTGCCTCAGTCCTGCTTTTCTGCTTTCTAGTTGGATCAACCAGCATTTATGAAGCACCCACTGTGCGCCAGGCATAGTGCTAAGTGTCGGCATGCAAGGAACGGAGTAAACGGCCTCTACCCTCAGGGAGCGCCCAGTCTGATGGGGCAGACAACAGTGAAACAACTGATATCAAGATATTAGAGGTCCAGCTGGAGATGAGCATTGGAGCAAAGGCATTAGGAGGAGGAGGGCTTGGGAAAGGAGCTGGGAAGTTGGGGGTTGGAGCAGAGGAGGAGAGGGTTCCAGGCCTGGGGGCAGCCAGAAGAGAGAAGCCCAGAGCTTGTTTGGGGAGTGGCTGGAGGCCAGGCGAGTTGGGGAGTTAGGAGTAAGAAGACTGGAAAGGTGCTGAAAGGCTTTGAGTGCCAAGCACAGGGTTTTGTGTTAGATTTTGGGAGCCAGTGCAGTTTCCTGAACGGGAGAGTGGATGATGGGAGCGGAGCTTTAGGCAGCTCCATTTGATGGCCAAGTGACAGTCTAGAGGCAGGAGAACTCATCACCGGGCAGGTAAAATTGACAGGCCTTGGCAGCTCATTGGGTCTGGGGTTGGGAGGGAGTGTTGAGTGGAGGATGAGTCCCAGGTGGGGAGCCTGAAGGACTAGGAGGATGGGGGCACCTTGGACGGTCACAGAGAAGTTCCTAAGAGCGTTGGAGGAGAGAGCGGGTGTGCCATTTTGGACGTTGGCTGGAAACGTAGATTTGGGCCTCAACGCACAGAGGTGATAACTGGATCCATGGCAGCTGATGTGATCACCCAGAGAAAAGGTGCAGAGGGAGAAGAGGACCCAAGGCTCAGGCCACGTGTCCCTTCGGATGCTCCAGGGCTCTCCGGGGGGGGGGGGTGGAAGCAGGCAGGGAGGGCTCTGCCTTCTGCGCTCTCCCCTTCCCTGCCTACAGGGAGTCCTGGAGCTCCTACCTCCTGGAGCCCACCTGGGCTGACCGAGGAGGAAGAAGTGGAAGAGAAGAGGAAAAGTCGCTCTGCTCCCAGTCAGTGTGTGTGGAGAGGCTGGCCCTGCCACCTAAGGAGGCAAGCCTCAGAACTGTTTCTCTCCATCACAGCACTGCCCGTGTCTGCCTCCTGAGACTGGAGATGCCCCCCCGCCCAACCCCCGCCCAGGCCATCGAGGTTGCCAAGCTGGGCTGAGGCCAAGCCCAGAGAGGAGCAGAACCAGGCCCTGAAGGCAGGGCCTCAGGCAGGACTCTATCTGCACCAGAGAGCCACAGCAAACACCTGCTGCCTCAGTTTCCCTAGTGGCGTAGATGAATACTATCTGGTTACAGTCTAAGGTGTCTGGCTCCTCTGCTGGGAGCCTAGGGGGTCATACAAAATAAATGGGAGCTTCCTCAGTGGGTCTGGCCTATTCTTCTAGCATGCTGGTTGAGAACCCTCAGGACTTTGGAGGCCCTGGGGGAGCTGGGGGGGCCAGCGTCTCTGGGCCTCCCTCACATCTCCACAGATGGGCCACAGGGCCCTGGAGGACGTGGGTGCCTTCTCCCTGGAGCCTCCTGCCTTGGGGAAGTGAGACATCCAGACGGGCCTGCCATGGGGTGGGGCGGGGCGGAGATCAGGAGGAAGGGGCTACCCAGTGGCCAGAGCTCAGAGAAGGTACCAGAGGGTCATCTAGGACCTGGGAGGTCTTTGGAGACCATCTGGTCCAACCCAGTCCTGAATAAGATCCCTCCCTACAGTCCCCAAGAAATGATCACCCAGGTTCTACCTGAAGGGCCCCAGGGATGGGGAGCTCACTACCTCACAGGACAGCTCTTTCCACTCCTGGCCAGCTCTGAGGCTTAGGACGTCTTTCCTTCCCTCCAGCCTCTCATGTTCCCCGTCTACAATGCCCACTGCTTGGGCTTGGCCCTCATTGTGGGGCTGAAGCTACCAAGGGAGGAAATCAAGTGGGCAAAGGTCGAGGGGGGAGCTGAGGGCCAGAGAAAGGACAGAACTCAGGAGGCAGCTCACTTCAGGGCTGCCACCTCCAAGAGGCCTTTTCTGATTGCCCACGGGGCTCCTTGTCATAACCAGTTATTCTGGATACTGTTATCCTGTACCTATTTATCTGTAAAGATGTTATCCAGCAAGACAGGCCTCCAGAGTAGAGTCCTGGGCCTGGAGCCGAGTTCAAATCCTGCCTCAGAAGCATGCTAGCTGTGGGACCCTGGGCGAATCACTTCACTTCAGTTTATGGGGATCCCCTTTTTACAGATGAATCTGAGGCTTTGCCCAGGGCCCCACAGCTAGGGAGTGGCCAAGGCAGCTCTGTCCTGACTCCCAGTCGAGGGCTCTCCAGCTGTCAGAGCAGGTGAGTTGGAGAGAATGAGCTTGAATCACCTATTTCAGCAAGCGAGTTTGAATGACCCGTTTTCACAGAAGTCAGTCAAGAGGGAGTGCCGGGTCACTGCCTTCATTTCATGGATGCGTAGCCCCCGCCCAGGGAAGGTAGGGATGGTGCCCTGGCTCCTAACAGCTGGTCTTTATTGGGACCCAAGTACATCTAACAGGGACAGCTGTGGGTGGGCTCTCCTCTGCTCCACCCTCAGTCCCCGGGGCTCGCCTCACCTTGGAACACCCAGACTCCTCCCCAATGGCCAATCCCTCCTGCAGCTTCCACTTTGGAGAGGAACCCAGGTCTCCTGTGTGGCGGCTTCCAAGTCACCCCGTTAGAATATAAGCTTGCTGAGGGCAGGACCTGCCTTTTTTTGAGGGGGGGGCTTGGCATGTAGTAAGCACTTAATCAAACAATAAACATTTAAGTAATCGATAGACATAAACACCTACTATGTGTCAGGCCTTGAATACCCTCAGGACCCTCAGCTCCTTAGCCCCAGGGGCAGCAAAAAGAGCACAAAGGTTTACAAGTAGGAAACCTAGGCTGAGCCAGTGAGTCCCTTTGCTTCTCTAATATTCAGTTTCCTCATCTGTAAAATGGGGACAAGAGCCTTTGCAGTCCTGACCCCCCCCCACCCCTGTGGTCATCGCTGTGCCCTTGGGGGTAGGAGATGAGAGGGCCTGGAACCCCAGGTCTTGGGCACAGACTGTCCCACAGAGACTAGCACACCAGTCTCCCTCACGGGCCTGTCTGGAGGCTCTCCCTCCAGCGATGGAGCCCATGGGGGGCTGGGGCCCTGAGCTGCCTTGTCCGTGGACTCAGCCGGCCCTGTGTGATGGCACTAGCCAGGGCCCCATAAGAGCCAGTGAGCCACTGGGCTGGCCTCTGAGGGAGGCCCAGGTGAAGCAGGAAGTGAGGCTGCTGCTTCAGGGACCTCCTCGGCCCGGGAGGCAAACAGCAGCTTCCCTAGGGGACAAGCCTGGAGTTCCGCAGCCTTTCCTGGTTCTCCCCCCAGGGAGCACATTTAGCTCCGCCTCCTGAGCGGCCTGCCTGCCTTCCCTCCATTCTCTGGGTCTCTCGGGGGCAATTCCCCTGTTAGCTGGTGCTCCTGGTCAAGCTTCGTTCTGGCGTGTGGGGCCAGCCCTGGGGGAGCAGGGATCCGGGACACAACTGAGGACCTGAGGACGGGGATCTTCAGGAGATAGGGCCGGCGGGGGAGAACTCGTAAGCCAAAGCCCTGTGAGGCCACAAGGGTAAGTCCATATTATGGCCCCATTGTACAGAGTAGAAAATTGAGCCCTGAAAAGACCATACAGCTTGTCCAGCTTACAAAGCTAGCAAGCATCAGGGTAGTGGCTGGAGCCTTGGGCCCAGAGTCTGGAAAACCTTTATTCAAATCCTGCCTCAGACACAAAGTACTGTGGGACCCTGAGCGAGTCAGTTCATCTCTGCCTCAGTTTCCTCAGCTGTAAAATAAGAAACGAACTTCCAGCTCTAAATCTACAAGCCTCTGAATCTTGTCTCTGGGATGAAACTCAAATTTCACAATCTGCTCTCCTCTGCCTTGCCGGCCTTAATTCATGATTCCTCCAGCTCCTGCCTTCTGAGTGTGCTCACGTAAGACACACGTGTGTGTCTGTGTGAGTTGTCTAAAGGTGTAGATGCCCAGCTGGTGGGTGGGTGTCGTGGATGGCTAGCTCCGGAATCTGGCCCAGCCCTCTCCAGCAGAGCCTGTGACTGCCAGCCCTCAGCAGAGGAGAAAGACTGCAGCCTATCTCCAAGTGGGGTGATGGGCCCTACCTACCTACCTACCCACCTACCTGTTGTTCACTCATGTCCAACTCTTTGTGATCCCATTTGGGGTGTTCTAGGCAGAGACACTGGAGGAGTTTGCCATTCTCTTCTCCAGTTCATTTTACAAATGAGGAAGCTGAGGCAAACAGGGTGAAGCGACTTAACCCAGGGCCACATAGCTAGTAAACGTCTGAGGCTGGATTTGAACTCAGGTTTCCTGACTCCAGGCCTGGCACTCTAGCCGCTGTGCCACCAAGCTGCAGCCCCACCTGCCTATTCTCTCTCTCTCTCCCCCTCTCTTCCTACCTGTCTCCCTATCTGCCAATCTCTATTTCTATGTGTCTATGTGATTGAGTGATTTTCAATCAATAACACCCCCAGGACAGAGTCCTGAACCACAGTCACTACCTGCTTGCAACCACTCCGTGCCCTAGTTTTCCAAATTAAAAAATCAGGACACCTGATCTGACAAAGGAGTTTCCTTTTGCAAAGTCTCATGGAAAGCATCTGCTTTCTTTCCTTGAATCAGATTGATTGGGGAAAATCTGTGATGCGGGACTTGTGAAGAGCTGAGTTGTCTGATGGGCAGCTCCAGCTGGGCACTGAAATGGCCCTTCCCCAACCTGCTGGTGCCCTGGGTCATGGGCTCCCCCCAGTTTAGGGGTGCCCTGGATTGTGGGCCCCCCAGTTTAAGGATACCCTGGATCATGAGCTCTCCCCTTACCCTCCACCCCCATCTTGGGGGAGCCCTGGATCATGGGCTCCCATACAGCAGGGATAGCTTTGTATACCTGAGTATAAGGCAGGAGGGTACAGTGGAAACAGGGCTGGATTTTTCAGAAAGAGGCCCTTGGTTCAAATTTAGTCAGTGTTCATCTTTCTGCCCATTAGAGTTCACAAAATGTTTTCCCTGCATGATTTCATTTGAAACTTTCAACAGCCCACAAAGGTATGTCCAATTTGGATTATCATCCCTATTTTATGGATATAAAATTCAAGTAATTTGCCCATGATCAGACAGCCAGTGTTGGAGGTAGGATTTGGATCCAATCTTTCTGATCTCCCTCTGAGATCTCTGGACAGGCACAACGCTTCTAGTGCTAAGTGCCTACTACGGACCAGGCCCCGTGCTAAGCAAAAATGAAACCATGCCTGCCCTCAGGGAGCTTTAGCTAAAGTCCTTCATGCGGAAGGTGCCCATTGAGGGGTTTCACAGGAAACCAGGAGTGCCCCAAGGCCTTGGGGGAAGAGGGAGCATTCCCAGGCAGCACGGGGCCATCCAGAGGAGAGAGAGCTGGCCAGGAGGGCAGGACAAAGCTGAAATAAGGGCTTGGAGCCAGGAGGTGAAGGGCTTTGGAAGCTAGCAGAGAAGCCTGGATTTGGCCCCAGAATCAACGAGGAGCCGAGCTGTGTTTACAGTAGCAGAAGGAGCCTGCACTGGGGAGAGAAGTGGAGCTGAGTCTGGAGGTCACCGGATTGTGCAATCAGAGGTTCGGGGCTGGAGGGATCTTCCTTAGAGGCCATTCAGTCCGACTCCCTCATTATACAGATGAGGAAACTGAGGCCCAGACAGGAGAAGAGGTTTGCCCAAGGTCAAGTGTATCTTCCTGACCTTCTATCCACCACGCCACCCAGATGCCTCCTACCACTCGGTGCTGAATTCTTTGGCCATGGAAACCCACGAAAGAAAGAAAGAAAATGGCGCCTCCTAAGAGTGATGGAAGATTGGGCAAGGGGACAAAGGGGGCCAAGAAATACAGTTTTTAGGCCGGCGGCGTTAACTCGGCCGTTGATACTCTGCCTGGTCTAATGACGGATGGATGGAATCTCCTCAATGGTGATTTCTCGCTATAAATAAAACGAGAAGAGAAGAGGAAGTCGCAGCCAAAGAGACAGATGGCTTATGGGTTCTCCTTGGGGAGGCCGAGAAAGGATGAAAAGCAGCAAGAGACATCAGTGCACGATACATTTGATCAAGGGGGAACGCTGCCGTCCACCGCTGCTGGCCAGCATCCTCCCGTTCAGAACTTAAATTTGTAAGAGAGGTTTAGAGGCTCCTGCAGGGCACACAGCCAGTCCTGTGAAGGACATCGGTCACTGGCAGACGTGTGCCTGCCCTCCCACATCAGCCATGTGGCTTCTGGCCTCTGGCACCCCAACATAGGAAGGGGTGAAGGGGAAGCACGGAGGCCACTCCCCCTCTGACTGAGCCCAGATCAAGCTTCAGAGCCAGGGTCCCAGCTCCGGTGGCTGCGGAGCTAAACCTGAGATCTAGGGCAAGGACGAACCTGAAGGCCCACCTTTCTTTGTTTTACAGAGCCTAGGGCCACCTGCACGAGAGTGGACTCTGGGAATATGTTACAGGGTCCAGCCACGGCCATGAGAGCAGCCTTTACGAGAAAAGGACGCCGACTGTTAGCTGGTCCTTCAACCAGCCACAGTGCTCAAAGATCCCAGTGAAAGCCTGGGAGTGGAGGAACCCTGGGGAAGAGGAAAACTGTTGAAACTGGATAGTTAGTGAGAGAGCATTTATTAAGTGCTTACTGTGTGCAGGCATGCCCAGCCAGTTTTTTTGTTCCTCAAATCCCTCTCAACAACGACACAAACCATGCTGTGGACCACCAGGGTAATTAACATATGGCTCATGATATTCTTTTAGATCAGTCTTTAAACACTTAAATAACAACTTTTGCCCCCAAAAAGGAGCTCCAAATTAAAATGAACATTACATAATTTTTTTTCCTTTTTCTTTGTTTTAGGCAATTGAGGTTAAGTGACTTGCCTAGGGTCACACAGCTAGTAAGTGTCAAGTGTTTGGTCTGAGGCCAGATTTGAACTCGGGTCCTCCTGACTTCAGGGCCAGTTCTCTATCCACTGTGTCACCTAGCATAAAATAGAAAACTTTATTCTACTTGTGGTCATGAAAACTCTAAACATCAAATTATAAACCTCTTCATGAGATAATTACAAATACTTTATGTTGGGACATTTGGTAAGAATTCAAAGCAGGAATCCAGCAAGACCTCTTATGCTATTATCTGCAAAATTTCATGCGAAATTTCTTTATTTTACATTTTATTGGATATGAAACCACTTTAAATTAAATAAAGTTACAACTTGGAAGATGTTTAATGTAACATAATAATCATGGCTAAACAATTCAATATTATGCTTTTAAAATTTGAAAAAGGGTTTGAAATATTTGCCTCGACATCAGACAACCACAGTCTCCAATCTGCTTCTGCATCGAGTGTCTTTCTGTATCCTGATTTCAAGCAAGAATAAAGTAAGAACTCTCACACAAATATGTGGTGGAAAAGGAGGGAAGGATTTTACTGTCTTGCTGAAAGATGGAAATTCCTTTTCTATCTTCAGCCACCCAATCAATTGATGAAAATAAGTGGCTGGTTAGAATATAAAATATTTACTTTTCTGCTGGCTAATGACAAATAATGCATTGAACAATAAATGTACTCAAAGCACGGTTACATATATTGCTTTATTTTTAACAAATCAATTCAGTCGTGTCCATCTCTTTGTGACCCCATTTAGGGTTTTATTGGCAGAGATACTGTTTGCTATTTCCTTCTCCAGCTCATTTTACAGATGGGGAAACTGAGATAGATAGGATGAAGTGACTTATCCAGGGTCACACAGCTAAGAAGTGTCTGAGGCTGCATTTGGACTCACATCTTCCTGATGCCAGGCCTGGTGCTCTAATCACCATACCACCTAGCTGCGTGTTTTTAACAATGTTTATACATGAAGTCACAGGACTCTCTTCTACCCCTGGCGCACCAGGTCCGCTCTCTCAGAACCTCTGTTGAATGGTTGACCCCCCTCTTTAAATACGGGAGGCGTCAACGAGTTTGTGCAAGTAAAGTGATGTGCAGCTGTCCAGAAATGCGAGTTGTCATTGAATGAAGGAAGTGAGTGAGTCCTTCCAAGTCCTCCTCACCAGGGATCTCGATACCAAAGTGAGTCAGTCCGTGGCCTCAGAAAGTTTACATTCTAATCAGGGGGGTCGTTCCTTCCAGGGATGGCGACAGGGGGGTCCCCTTATCTCCTGAGGGCCCAAAAGGCCACTCAGGCAGAGCAGGGGCTCACCTAAGCCCTTGGACCCCAAAGTCCGCATGCCTCCCCTGGGCCCCAGGTGCCAGGAGAGGCCGGCTCGTCCAAGCCCTTTCTTTTGCAGGGGGAAACTGAGGAACAGAGAGGTGAAGTCGTTTCCTTGAGACTGCTGTAAAGAACGTGTTTTGTTAATCTCGAAGTGCTATGTCTATGTGAACAATATCACATTATATTTTATTAATAATTTATAAATGTTAAACTTATTGTAAAATTTATTTTTGTTAATTTAAACTGTTAATTAATTCTGATTCCATATTTGTAATTAATTTTCAGCAAATTACAACAATTGTAGTATGACCACCACCACAACAACGGTAAGACTGAGGCCCGGCAGGGACGGGGCCTGCCTAGGCCAGGAGTCAGGAAGCCCTGGGTTCGACCCTCCCCTGCGACCTTTCTAGGCTGGGTGACCTGCCTCAGCCTGGGTTTCCTCAGCTATAAAATGGGTATGAAAAGCGTGCCCCCACCAGGGTGACTGTGAGGACATCGCATCAAGGGCTGCTTGGCAAACTTCCAAGGGCTCAGCTCGGCCCCTGTGGATGCCCGCGCCCAGCTCCGAGCCTCAGTTTCCCCCTGGGCTGCCGGGGCCCCTGCTTGCCCCCTCTGGCCTCCTGGGGACACCGTTTGGTGGCAGCGGCCCCGGGGCTGTGAGGATGGGGGAGGGGGCTGGGGTCATTGGGGTGAGCCCCTCCTCCCCCAGCCGGCGCCGGGGTGGGGGCGGGGAGGCAAAGGCAGAGCAGGCCCAGAGCCTCGAGGCTCCCCTCCCCCACCGCTTTACACTTTCCGGAGGAGGGGAATGCGCAGCTAGGCAGGGGCAGAGCCCCCCCTTCCGACCCAGGGCCCTTCCTAAACCCTGCCCATTGTACAGACGAGGGGACTGAGGTCTGCAAAGCTAACTCTCTCCCCCAGGGCCACATAGAGGGTAACAGAGTCTAGATTTCACCTCGGGACCTCTGACCCCCAATCCGGCTCACTACCGCGCCCATTTCACAGAGGAGGAAGCTGAGGCCCAGCAAGGTTGAGTATCTCCCTAGCTATAAACAACAGAAGGAAGATTTGGACCCCCGACCCCCTCACCCCCCACCCCCCGACTCCAGGTCTGGGGCTCTGACTCTCAGGTTACAGCAGCCAGGGTGCAGCAGGGCCTCCTCCTCAGCCCATTTCCCAGGCCACTTGGGGTGACCTCCTGGCATTAGGGAGGGCAGAAATGCTGGCAAAGGTCCGTGCCCACTGGCACTGAAAACAGGTCTGTGCCAAGGCTGAGGCAAACACCCCACACAGCAGCCACGGTCTGCAATGAGAGAACACGGAGTTGGGAGGGACCTCAGAATGTGGGATGTCAGAGAGGGAGGGAACCTCAGAATGTGGGGTGTCAGAGGGGGCGGGACCTCAGAATGTGGGGTGTCAGAAGTAGGAGGGACCTCAGAATGTGGGGTGTCAGAAATGGGAGGGACCTCAGAATGTGGGATGTCAGAGGGGGAGGGAACCTCAGAATGTGGGGTGTCAGAGGGGGCGGGACCTCAGAATGTGGGGTGTCAGAAGTAGGAGGGACCTCAGAATGTGGGGTGTCAGAAATGGGAGGGACCTCAGAATGTGGGATGTCAGAGGGGGAGGGAACCTCAGAATGTGGGATGTCAGAGGTGGGAGGGACCTCAGAATGTGGGGTGTTGGGGCTGTGTATTTCATGCATTTCAAACACCTTATTCTGAGGACGGGGCCCCTCAGTTTCACCAGACTTCCTGCCGGAGTGAGTGCAAAGGGCCCTGGACCTGGCGCCAGGGGACCCAGGTCTCAGTTTCCTCATCTTTCCACATCCAAGCCCACAATGCAGCTAGGTGGCGCCATAGGGCAGGGAGCACTGGGCCTGCGGTCTGGGAGTCCTGAGTTCAAATCCACCTCGGACGCTTCCTAGCTGTGGGACCGTCCGTGGGTCAGTCTTGAAGCCCTAAGCCTCGAGAAGGTGAGAGCTGGAAGGCACCTGGCTACCAGAGGGCCCGCCCAAAAGTGAAGGGAGCTTGGCTCAGCTTTGGGACCTCCTGCCCAGCAGGGAAGGGGGGAGGGAGGGAGCACACGAGTGCTGGAGGGCCCCGCTGTGTGCTTAAGTGCTTTCCCATTGCGATCTCATTTGATGCTCACTACAGCCCTGGGAGGTAGGTACTGCTATCATCCCCATCTTACAGATGAGGAAACCGAGACAAACAAGGTTAAGTGACTTGTCCAGGGTCACACAGCTAGTAAGTGTCTGAGGCCAGATTTGAACTCGGGTCCTCTGGACTCCAGGCCTGGTGCTCTCTCCACTGCACCATCTAGCTGCCCTAACTGTGCTATAATTAAGTCAGTAATAAGATTTTGGGTATTTTTAAAGATTAATTTATTTTGACTTATCAACAATCACTTCCATAAGCTTTTGAGTTTTAAAGTTTTCTCCCCCTGCCTCCCCCCTCCCTCCCCACGACAGTGCGCAATCTGATATAGGCTCTACATAAACATTCCTGTTAAACATGTTTTCATATTAGTCATGTTGTAAGGAAGAATTAGAACCAATAGGAGGAACCACCAGAAAAAGGAAACAAAACACAACAGAATAAAAAAATAACGAATAGCATGCTTCGATCTGCTTTTAAACTCCATCGTTCTTTCTTTGGATGTGGAGAGCGTTTTCCACCATGAGGCCTTTGGAGATGGCTTAGATCCTTGTATTGCTGGGAAGGTTCAGTTTATCAATATTAGTCACCACACAATGTGGCTGTTACTGTGTACAACGTTCTCCTGGTTCTGCTGACTTCACTCAGCATCAGTCCATACAGGTCTTTCCAGGTTTTTCTGAAGTCAGCCTGTTCATCATTTTTTACACAGCACAATAGCATTCCATTACATTCATATACCACAGCTTGCTCAGCCATTCCCCAATGGATGGGCATCCTCTCAATTTCCAATTCTTTGCCACCACAAAAAGAGCTGCTATGAATATTTTTGTACATGTGGGTCCTTTTCCCATTTGTTTGATCTCTTTGGGATATAGCCCTAGAAGTGCTATTGCTGGGTCAAAGGGTATGCACATTTTTGTAGCCCTTTGGGCATAGTTCCAAATTGCTCTCCAAAAATGGTTGGATCATCTCACAACTCCACCAACAATGCATTGGTGTTCCAATTGTCCCACATCGTCTCCAACGTGTATCATTTTCCTGTTTTGTCATGTTGGCCAATCTGATAGATGTGATGTGGTACCTCAGAGTTGTTTTGATTTGCATTTCTCTAATCAGTAACGATTTAGAACATTTTTTCATGTGACCGTAGATGGCTTTAATTTCTTCATCTGAGAACTGTCTGTTCATATCCTTTGACCATTTATCAATTGGGGAATGGCTTGTGTTCTTATAAATTTGTCTTAATTCTCTATATATTTTAGAAATGAGGCCTTTATCAGAGAGACTGGTTGTAAAAATTCTTTCCCAATTTTCTACCTTCCTTCTAATCTTAGTTGCATTGGCTTTGTTTGTGCAAAAACTTTTCAATTTAATGTAATCAAAATTATCCATTTTGCTTTTCATAATGTTCTCTATCTCCTGTTTGGTCATGAATTCTTCTGTTCTCCATAGATCTGATAGGTAAACTATTCCTTGTTCTCCAGTTTTACATATCAGCCTTTATATCTAAGTCATGAACCCATTTTGACTTTATTTTGGTATATGGTGTGAGATTTGGGTCTATGCCTAGTTTCTGCCATACTCTTTTCCAGTTTTCCCAGCAGTTTTTTTCAAAGAGTGGGTTCTTATCCCAGAAGCTGGGGTCTTTGGGTTTATCAAATAATAGATTACTATAGTCATTGACTACTGTGTCTTGCATATTTAACCTATTCCACTGATCCACCTCCCTATTTCTTAGCCAGTACCAAGCAGTTTTGATGATTGCTGCTTTATAATACAATTTAAGATCTGGAATTGCTAGGCCACCTTCCCCTGCATTTCTTTTCATTAGTTCCTTTGATATTCTGGACCTTTTGTTTTTCCAAATGAATCTTGTTATTATTTTTTCTAACTCTATAAAATAATTTTTGGTAGTTTGATTGGTATGGCACTGAATAAGTAAATTAGCTTAGGTAGGATTGTCATTTTTATTATATTAGCTCGCCTACCCATGAGCAACTGATGTTTTTCCAATTATTTAGATCTGATTTTATTTGTGTGAAAAGTGTTTTGTAATTGTGTTCATAGAGTTCCTGGGTTTGTTTCGGGAGGTAGACTCCTAAATATTTTATAATGTCTACAGTAAGTTTAAATGGGATTTCTCTTTCTATCTCTTGCTGTTGGGCTTTGTTGGTAATATATAGAAATGCTGATGATTTATGTGGGTTTATTTTATAGCCTGCAACTTTGCTAAAGTTGTTTATTATTTCAAGTAGTTTTTTACTTGATTCTCTAGGATTCTCTAAGTATATCATCATGTCATCTGCAAAGAGTGATAGCTTTGTTTCTTCTTTGCCTATTCTAATGCCTTCAATTTCTTTTTCTTCTCTTATTGCTAAAGCTAACGTTTCCAGTACAATATTGAATAACAGTGGTGATAATGGACATCCTTGTTTCACCCCTGATCTTATTGGAAATGCTTCTAGCCTGTCCCCATTACATATAATGCTTGCTGAAGGTTTTAGATAGATGCTATTTATTATTTTAAGGAAGACTCCATTTATACCTATGCTTTCTAGTGTTTTTAATAGGAATGGGTGTTGTATTTTATCAAAAGCTTTTTCTGCATCTATTGAGATGATCATGTGGTTTCTGTTGGTTTTGGTGTTGATATGCTCAATGATGCTGATAGTTTTCCTAATATTGAACCAACCCTGCATTCCTGGTATAAATCCTACCTGGTCATAGTGTATTATTCTTGTGATAAGTTGCTGCAATCTATTTGCTAGTATTTTGTTTAAAATTTTTGCATCTATATTCATTAGAGAAATTGGTCTATAATTTTCTTTCTCTATTTTGACTCTTCCTGGTTTAGGTATCACCATCATATTTGTATCATAAAAAGAATTTGGTAAGACTCCTTCTTCACCTATTTTCCCAAATAGTCTATATAGTATTGGAATTAATTGTTCTTTAAATGTTTGATAGAATTTGCATGTAAATCCATCTGGCCCTGGAGATTTTTTCCTAGGGAGTTCATCAATGGCTTGTTCAATTTCTTTTTCTGAGATGGGGTTATTTAAGTATTTTACTTCCTCTTCGTTAATCTGGGCAATTTATATTTTTGTAAATATGTATCCATTTCACTAAGATTGTCAAATTTGTTGGCATATAGTTGGGCAAAATAATTCCTAATTATTGTTTTAATTTCCTCTTCCTTGGTGGTAGCTTCACCCTTTTCATTCTTGATACTAGTAATTTGGTTTTCTTCTTTCTTTTTTTTAATTAAATTAACCAAAGGTTTATCTATTTTATTGGTTTTTTCATAAAACCAGCTCTTAGTTTTATTTATTAGTTCAATAGTTTTCTTAATTTCAATTTTATTAATTTTTCCTTTGGTTTTCAATATTTCTAATTTGTGTTTAGAGGATTTTTAATTTGTTCTTTTTCTAGTTTTTTTAGTTGTATGCCCAATTCATTAATCTCCTCTTTTTTATTTTATTTATGTAAGCATTTAGAGATATAAAACTTCCCCTAAGAACTGCTTTCGCTGCATCCCATAGTTTTGGTATGTTGTCTCATTATTGTCATTCTCTTGAATGAAATTATTGATTTCTATGATTTGTTGTTTGACCCAATCATTTTTTAGGATTAGATTATTTAGTTTCCAATTATTTTTTAGTCTATCTTTCCATGGCCCTTTATTACATATAATTTTTATTGCATCATGATCTGAAAAGGATGCATTTAATATTTCTGCCTTTCTGCATTGGATTGTGAGGTTTTTATGCCCTAGTACATGGTCAGTTTTTGTGTATGTGCCATGTACTGCCAAGAAAAAAATATATTTCTTTCTATCCCCATTCAGTTTTCTCCAGAGGTCTATCACACCTAACTTTTCTAATGTTCTATTCACCTCCTTAACTTCTTTCTTGTTTATTTTGTGGTTAGATTTATCTAGTGCAGAGAAGGGGAGGTTCAGGTCCCCCACTAGTATAGTTTTGCTATTTCTTCCTGTAACTCCCTGAACTTCTCCTCTAAGAATTTGGATGCTATACCATTTGGTGCATATATGTTTAGTAATGATATTACTTCATTGTCTATGGTGCCTTTTAGCAGGATGTAGTTTCCTTCCTTATCTCTTTTGATTAGATCTATTTTTGCTTTTGCTTTGTCTGAGATCAGGATTGCTACCCTGCTTTTTTTACTTCAGCTGAAGCATAAATATATTCTGCTCCAGCCTTTTACCTTTACCCTGTGTGTGTCACTCTTTTTCAAATGTGTTTCCTGTAAACAACATATTGTAGGATTATGGTTTTTAATCCATTCTGCAATCTGTTTCTGTTTTATGGGAGAGTTCATCCCATTCACATTCACAGTTATGATTACTATCTGTGTCTTTTTCTCCATCCTTTCCCCTTTATGCTTTTCTCCTTTCCCTCCTTCCTAGTGTTTTGCTTTTGACCACCCTCCTTCAGTCCCCCTCCCTTTTATTATCCCTTTCCCTTTTCTTCCCCTTTACCCTTACTGCTTCTTCCCTCCCTTCTTTCCCCCCTCCCTTTTCTTTCCCCTTTTCCCTCCTACTGCCTATAGGGCAAGTTAGATTTCTATACCTAACTGATTATGTTATGCCCTTCTTGAGCCAAATCTGATGAGAGTAAGGTTCAAACAATGCTCCCCCCTCCCTTCTTTCCCTCTGCTGTAATAGGATTTTGTGTCTTTTCCTGTAATGTAATTTACCCTTGTCTGCCTCCTCCTTTCCTTTCTCAGTACATCTTTTAGATCAGATTATCCACTTATTTGGATCCATTTAACCCACTTGATTAGATTTTTCTCTCATTACATCGAAGTCAATTTATACCCACCCCATTTATTACCCCCTTAGCATGGTATAATAACAATACAGTTCTCAGGGGTTACAAGTATTATCTTCCCTTGTAGGGATGTAAACAGTTTGCCCTTATTAATAACGTGTTTCTTTCCATCCTGTTTACCTTTTCATGTCTCTCTTGAGTCTTGTATTTGAAGATCAAATTTTCTGTTGAGCTCTGGTCTTTTTACCAGGAAGGTTTGGAAGGTTTATATTTTTAAAAAATCTATCATTTCTTTATTTTTAACATTCATTTTTTAAAGTTTTGAGTTCCAAACTCTCCAAATTTGCCATTAAGAAGGCCAACAGCATGGTATCAAAGTAATAATAGTAATTAGTGACGACCAGCAGACCAGACGTATTCGGCACTTCAAGGTTTGCAAGGGCTCGACATCACCAGTGTTGGACTTTCCTGTCCTCCTGCAGCCTGGAGGCCTGAGCTGTTGCTCCCCTTTTTCAGATGAGGAACTTGCCTCTCTGCCTTCTGAGGTCCCTTCCGGCTCCGCACGCAAGATCTTCTTTCCTTCCTCCTCTTCCTCCTCCTCTCCCTCCTCCTCCTCCTCCTCCTCTTTCTTCTCCTTACTTTTCCTTCCCTTTTTTCTCCTTCTGTTTCCCCTCCTCCTCTTCCTCCCCTCCTTCCTCTCCCCCCTCACCATCCTTCCCTTCCCTTCTCTCACCCTTGGTGGCCATCATCGCCATGACCAGCTCCTGCTCTGAGCCCACAGCCATATTCTGGGTTTTCCATCCTGGCCCCTCATGAAACAAAGGACCCAAGTTTTTCTTTGCTGAAATAGTGGCCAAGGACTCCTGAGCTCGGACCCATGGACCGGTTCGAGGATGCCTGGGCACCTCGGCAGGGCCCCGCCCCCCCCCCCAGCCTGTGGGAGGGGTGGGAGTCTGAGCCATCTAGGGCTCCACATGGATTCTCTGAGCCTGGACCCTGCAAAGCCACCTGAGACCGGCAGCCGGCAATTACCAGCAATTACTACAGGCCGAAGCTCGAAAGACGGTCATTTCTTCCTGCTTTCCGACCGCTGAGCCCGAGTTCTGCCTTCTCCTTTCCCACTCTCGGGGCCTCCCAGGCCGCAGCCCTCCATCCCCCATCCCTCCCACTGAGGGGTGTCAGCACCTCAAAGGAAGCCCCAGCAGGAGACCGGGGCAGGGCCCACAGAGAGCCATGCCCCGGCCAGGCAAAGTGCCCAGGGTGCGAGGTCCCCCAGCAGGTGGCTGAGATAATTAGCCCTGACATTTCCACTCCTGCCAAGCTTGAGTTCCATACATCATCCCAGCCCACTGAGACAGAGACACGCTGGTGTGGATCTCGTTTATTGATGAGGAAACTGAGGCAAAGGAAGGTGATATTACCTGCCCAGGGTCACACAGCGTGTAAGTGTCCGAAGTGGAATTGGAACCCAGGTCTCCCTGACTCTGGGGGTGTTTCTCTGCCCACCACACCCCACGCCTCCCATTTTAGAGGTAAAGACTAGAGGCCCAGAGGGGTCCAGCTGCTGGGTTAATACCCAGGAAGACTGAAAGCAGCCTCACCCAGGCTCCATCCTCGGCCCCACAACTAGCCAGCTGGGCGACATTGGGCAAGGGAGGCCCTCTGGGACTCAGTTTCCCTCTTTGGATGATGGCAGCACAGTGACTCTCTCCTCCTTCCCCCGGATTTCTCAGTACCCTCTATGCCCCTGGGGCTGGGGGTTGGGAACTGAGACATTTGACCACTGAGGACCAACCCCCCGCCTTCCCAGGAGGTGCAGTCAGAAACAGTGGCTTTGGCTTTCTGCTCATTCTGGAACGTTCCTTTGCTTTCATTAGGCTCCAGGCCGAAGCAATGAGTCTGCAAGACTTCACATACCCGCTCCCGGAGACGCGGTTCCTCCATGCGGGCACCAGCGTGTACAAGTTCAAGATCAGATATGGCAGCAGCATCAGGTACCTGGTTTGGGCCCCTCCTCTGGTCCATCCTCTCTGTCTCTGCCCAGGATGGGTCTGCCCAGTGCCAGGAGGGGGCCAAGCCTGGATCCATGGACTGCTTCTGAGGACTCCCCAGACTGGAAGGGTTCTCTTTTCTTTTCTTCTCTTTTTCTTTGAGGCAGTCAGAATTAACAACTGGCAAGTGTCTGAGGCTGGACTTGAACTCAGGTCTTCCTGACACCAGGGCCACCTGACCACCCCTTAGAGAGATTTCTTTTGGGACAAAGTTGGAGTCACAGAACCCCACGATCTGAGAGCAGGACGGGACTTCAGCCGTCCTCTAGCCAACCTCTCATTCACAAAAGGAGTTCCCACTAGAGGACACGAGTTCAAATCCCGCCTTTCCAGAGGCAGCTTGGATGGGTCCAGGGAGGGCCCTGTTCTTGACTGATTCAACGAACAACCTCCATTCTTACCAGAACGGAGTTAATGGGTGGGAAAGTCAGTGGAGCCTTAATCATTTGGTCAATGAGCATTTATGAAGCACCTACTGTGTGCCAGGCATTGTGCCAAGGTCTAGGGAAGCAAAAAGGGGCAAAGGGCAGTCTCTGCCGTCGTGTGTGTGTGTGTGTATACATACATACATACATACATACACATACACACACATACATACATATATACATATACACATATACACATACATACATACATACACACATACATACATACATATAAAATTAGGTATATGCATGTCATGTCATCGGGGGTGGGGCCACATTCTTGCCTTGTCTCCCCAGCTCCTGGCACGTAGTAGCTGCTGGATCACGACCCTCTGGTGAGCTGTGGGATGGCCTGGGCCCAAGTTCCCTAGGGCACAGTCTGTCCGCCAGGCCCTCCCAGTCTGGGGAGGCCGGGCCCTGGGCCCAGGGCACCTGTCTGAGCCTGCCTCAGTTCGGAGAGGCAGAGGCCTTCCCAGAAGCCCAAGAGGTCTTCTCTCAGTTTCACTGGGACAGGCCGCAGCCATCAAGGAAGCCCCCTTGAAGACGGGCTCGTGGTGCCGGGGAGAACACCCTGGATAGGGAGTCAGAGGATCCAAGTTCTAATGCCACCCCATCACTTACGACCTTAGATCACTCCCTTTCTCTGGGCCTGCGTTTCCTCCACTGCAGAATGAGGGGGTTGGATCCAGAAATGATGCTAATAAGCCATAAGACTTTGGGACACCCTGATGATGGTTTCATTGGTTGGTGGGGTTGGCCCTGGAAGGGCTGGTCGACAGAGATCGTGCCCCAGCCTGTTTTCCTAGGCTCCCAGGTCTCAGGTTGGAAGGGACCATCTACCCAAGCACCATGTTTCACAGATGAGGAAACAGGCCAAGGGAAGGGAAGTTATTTCCCCAATGACAGATCATGTCAGAGGCAGGATTTGAACCCAGGCCCTTCTCTGCAGAGAGAATGAATGAACTTAATCCGTGGCAGGCACTGTGCTAAGCCCTAGGGGTACAGAGGAGAGAACTGTGGAAGCCCAGAGAAGGCATGGGCCCCTCAGCTGATGGAGTGCCCATTGCAAATGAGGCAGGGGTTCTGCACACTGAACCAGATAAGATGAAGGCCTAAGCAGAGAAAGAATTCAATGAATGCCCAACCCTTGCCATCCACATCAATTCATATGAAACTTCCAATGTTTCTCTGAACCCCTCCCCAAATGTTATTAATATTTTCATACATACAGGATGTTCCAAGAGCATCAGAGGATTTTAAGCCTTAATCCCTTGATATTTAACGTAACTCATAACTTCAAAAGCTTTAAACTGTGCTAAGCCTTTTGGAGCACCCCATATGTGAACGCATACTTTTCTCACACAATCCCAATTTCCCCCTACCAGATTTGTCACCATGTGCAGGTCCACCAATAGTGTATGAGTGTTCCTTTCTTCCCGTGACCCATCCAGCAGTCACTGTCCCCTTTTGCCACCTTCCAAGCTGTTGCTCTGTCTGTCTGTCTGATTTCTGCTCCATCTTCCTGGGCTGAAGACAGGCTCTGCTTGGACATAAAGTCTCTCTCCGAAGTTTTCAATCATGACTCATTTGTTCATTTGCCTTCCAGAGGGGAAGAGATAGCAGACAAGAGAACTGTCAGCCAGGAGCTGGAGGTAGGGACTGAAAGAAGCCAGCATCTCTCAGGAAAGAGGCTCCTTTGTGCTGAAGGCCCCAAGGGGAGGGGTTGCTCCTGGGGCCTGAAGTCTCAATGCCCACTGCTTGGCCCGGCCTCTCCCTACATAGCTCGGTGTGCCACACTGAGAAGGGCTCAGTTGTGCAAATTTCCTGTTTTCCTGGGTTTTTTTTATGCATTTAAAACCTCTGACCTTTCTCATTCCTGCTGGCTGAAATGTCAGCACCTTCAATGCTGATGCAGCAAGACCTTTTGATTCGGCTCGAGGTCAGGGCGACTGGCAGGCAGAACCTTCTGGCAGGAAGACCTGCTTCCGGAAGGATGGCGCCTCCCAGGTCTCTGGCCTGAGTCCCTGGCTCTGCCCCTGCCTGGGGCCTGACAGTCCAGGAAACCCGACTGTAAATACCCAGGCCAGGCGGCGGCATCTTCCCCTTAATTAGAAACACTTGTGGGTGTCATATCCCCAGTTCTTTGAGGCCTGTGACTTTCTGTTGCATCCCTAGAGTGTCCAATCTCCCCCAAAAGTGACCTTGGCCTCTCCATCGGCCTTGGCGCCCAGTAGATACAGGGAGTGTTTTCCGAGTGTCATTGACCACATAGACACCTGCCCTAATGTCCAAGTTCCAGAGTCACTGAGAACCTCCTCCCGGCCAGCCAGAGGCCCAGCAAGCTTCCCAGGGAGCGTATGGTAACACACAACTCTTAGCACATCCCTCCTGACTTCAGCTGAGCAGTCGACCCAGAAGAAGTTTTCGAGGACACAGGTGACCTTTCCTTGTATTAAAGCAGGCATTTTTCCCATTTTTAGGACTCCATTCGGGCCGTCTTGGGGAACCTGGACAATTTGCAGCCATTTACCACTGACCACTTCATCATATTTCCCTGTATCTTTTCTTCTGGGAGTGCTGTCTGAGTTCTAGTTCAACATGAGTCTACGGAGAACAGGGTGGTGAAGGAAGCCAATGGCATCTTGGGGGATGTTGAGAGCAGCAGAGTGTCCAGGACTGGGAGGGGGGCAGAGAAGGAAAGAGGAGGGAACCCCACAGGGAGGGAGGGGAGAAGAGCAGGGGGCCATACGTGCCAGGATCCTCTGCCCTGATTGGACCACACCCGGAGCATCAGGGTCTGTTCTGGGCTCCATATTTTAGGAAAGACACAGATAACCTAGACTGTAAACTTGTTTAAAGACTAGAAGCCACTTGGGGCTTTCTTGCTGAGTGACGTCTGGGTTGGGCCCATTGAAATCCCTCCCGACTGTGGATAAGTGGGCTTTAATTCACATTCCCTGTTGGGCCTGACAAAGCCTGGTCCACTTTGGAGGGCAGAAGATGGGGGTGGGAGGGGAGCCGGAGTCCTTCCCCCTTCCAGGATCCAGGCCCTGCCTCAACTCCTCATGAGCTCCTTAGCCCTGGCTAAGATAAGAGCAAATGGGAGCGGGTGTCTCACCTGAGGTTCAAGCACGGGGCGGCTTTCCTGGAGCCCTACCCTTTTGTCTGCACCCTCTATGTGGAGATGAAGTGGGCGCCGGCCGGTGAGTGGGTGGAGCCAGGACCGGCTCCAGAGGGTGGCTGGGGCTATCCTCCCTGATTCTCCACCTGTTGGCCCTAAGGGGTGGCCGGGACCACATGCCCAAGCTCCATGCCCAACTGTCCTGCCTGCTGGTTGTGCAGGTGCTCTCTCTCTGGGCCTCAGTTTCCCTTTCTGGATTGGATTTGGCAGTTCCTCACATCCCATCCACTCGTCCCAGCCTGTGCTGTCTCTGGGCCTCAGTCTCCTCCTTTACAAAATGGGGACAATAATACCCGCCCTCCCTTAATGGGGTAAAGGAGGCATAATTCTTTTTATCTCCCCACATCCGAAGGTTTGCTCTTGTTTTCAGGCATCTTCGGGACTTTTCCAAGAGTTCAGTTTGTTTCAACTCAATTTGATGAGCATTTATTAAGCTCCTACTACATTCCAAATACTATCCCAGGTGCTTGGGATCAAAAAAAAAGAAAAAATTAAAGAAACAGTCCCTGCCCTCAAGGAGCTTACCTTCTCCTGGGACACACACACGCACGCACACACACATGCGCCCACACGTATATACACATGTACACATGCACACACGTGCACACACACGCATATGCACACATGCATACAGACATACATACACCCTCACCACAGGCAGCACCAGGGAAGGATTTCTGCAGGAGAGAAGGAGCTTTGAAGGAGCCAGACATGGAGTCTGTGGAGGGAGGGCCGGAGGGAAGGGAGGCAGAAATGACTCGGTTTACCATTTTGCTAAGGGCAGACCCTACTCAGAGGAGGAGCCCCCCAAGTCCTGATGCCCTCTGTTTCTTGTACTTCTCTAGGGACCCCTGGAGGAGACAATGACTTCCCAGAAATGGTAAGTTTGCCTTTGCCAAGTAGGATGAAAACCTTCTCTGCTTCAGACCAAGGCCCAGGGTTGGGGGTCAGAGGGCACTGAGTTTGGTGCTTACCAGCTGTGTGACTTTGGGTAAGTCCTTGAAGCTCAGGTTGTTGGACTAGATGACTACCCCGAAGTCCCTCCTAAACTCGGGATGCTATTAACCGTTCTCTAACGCTGCATCTCTCCCGGGAGCAAGGCTGGTGCCAAAGGTGCTTTTTCAAAAGGGGCTCCCCTTCACCCCCTCTCTCAGCCTGGCCCTGCATCAGCTGACTGCCCACCCGCTTTGGGGCAAGGAGAATCCCAAGGGTCTGGTTCCTATCTGAAGGGTCACAACGAGGAAACAGAAGTGAGAACCGTGGCAGCAAAGAGGAGAAGACTGGAAGGTGGCAAGTTCCCCCCAGAACAAGAACAGGGCAGGTCAGTGGTGGGAAAACCTGAGGGCAGGTTCATTTTGAGTGACCACTGGGGCTAGCCTGGGAACCAGAAGGGGCTAGCCTGGGAGAAGGGGTTGGCCTGGGAACCAGGGCTAGCCTGGGAGAAGGGGCTAGCCTGGGAACCAGGGCTAGGCCTGGGAGAAGGGGCTAGCCTGGGAAAAGGGGCTAGCCTGGGAACCAGGGCCGGCCTGCAAGATAACACTTTCCTGCTTTCTTCCCAGCTATGCCACTGATGGACTGGGTATCCTTAGGCAAGTCATTCCTCCCCCCTCCCACCCCAGGCCTCCTTGGTTCTTGTACTTCCATACATGAAGTCTGGCCAATGAGTCTAAGCTACTTTGAGCCCTCACATATGCAAGACTCTGCCTTTTATGAAAATGGGAGTTGAACCCTCTCTCCATTCGATATTCGTGCCACATTCAATAGGCATCTATTATGTGCCCTCTTTTATATGCTGAGCTTAGTACTTAGGGGGATACAATGATGAGTAAGACCAGCTCATAGGTCCATCTCAAAGGCCACCTCCTCCATGAAACCCTCCATGATTCAGATTTGGACACCATCAGGATCATGGACTCCAATCTGTGCTTACCTCATTCTTTCTCTCCCTCCCTCCTTCTTTCCTTCCTTCCTCCCTCCCTCTCTGTTTCTTTCTTTCCTTCCTTTCCTTCTTTCTTTCTTTTTCTTCCTTCCTTCCTTCCTCTCTCTCTCTCCCTTCCTTCCTTTCTCTCACTCTCCTTTCTTCCTTCTTTCCTTTCTCTCTCTTTTCTTTCTTTCTTTCTTTCTTTCTTTCTTTCTTTCTTTCTTTCTTTCTTTCTTTCTCTTTCTCTCTTCTTTCTTCCTTTCTTTCCTTTCTTCCTTCTTTCTCTCTCTCTCTCTTTCTTTCTTTCTTTCTTTCTTTCTTTCTTTCCTTCCTTCCTTCCTTCCTTCTCTTTCTTTCTTTCTTTCTTTTTCTTCTTTCTTTCTTTCTTTCTTTCTTTCTTCTTCCTTCCTTTCTTCTTCCTTCTTTCCTTCCTTCCCCTTCCTCCTCTCCTTCCTTCCTTCCTTCCTCTCTCCTCTCCCTCCTCTCCTCTCCTCTCCTCTCCTCTCCTCTCTCTCCTCTCCTCTCCTCTCCTCTCTCTCCTCTCCTCTCCTCTCCTCTCCTCTCCTCTCCTCCTTCCTCTCCCTCCTCTCCTCTCCTCTCCTCTCCTCTCCTCTCCTCTCCTCTTCCTTCCCTCCTCCCTGGAAAGTGCCATAGGGATCAGTGCTTGGCTCTATTCTGTCAAACATGCTAGTGAATGACTTGGCCACAGGCACACTTACCAAACAAATCTGTGGGTGGCCCATAGCTGGGAGGGATCACTGACACTAGAAGCCAGTCAGGATCTTGACTGGCTGTAATGTTGAGGCAGCTAGGTGGTGCTGCAGTGCCCAGAGTACCAGGCCTGGAGTCAAGAAGACCTGAGTTTGAATACAGACTAAGACACTTACTGGCTGTGTGGCCCCGGGCAAGTCGCTTAACCTCTGCCTCAGTTTCCTCATCTGTAAAATGGGGATAGTAACAGCCCCTACCTCCCAGGGGTGTGGTGAGGGGAAAACGGGATACTATTTGTAAAGCAGAGAGCCTGGCACCTGGCAGGCACTTCAGAAATACCAACTTCCTTCCTTCCTTCTCCGTAACTCAGAATTGCTCAGATCACTGAGAGGTTCTGTGACTTGCACAAGGTTATATAGCCAGCAGGTCTCAGGGCAGGCCTTGAAGCCAGGTCTTCCTTGCCTCGAGGCCAGCTTCCTGTCCACTCTGCCGCATGGAAAACACTAACAAGTTGAGGAAAGGCCTCAAGTAGCAGGAGGCACCAGAGATGTGCTTTGAAGGAGAAGTGTAAGAGACAGGTGAAGAAGGAGGGCTTGCCAGGTGTGTGGAATGGCCTGGACAAAGGCAGGAAGGCGGGAGATGCCTTTTGACTGGAACGGGGAGTAATGCAATGAGGCTGGACAGGCAGGCGGGAGCCACGTTGTGGAAGGTTTTAAATACCAGGCCAATGAGATTGTAGTGGGTCCTGGGGCAGTAGGGAGTCAGCGAAGGCTTTTGAGGAGGGGAGTTCTGTGCTATGGGAATGTCCCTGACAGCTGGGTGGAGTCTGGGCTGGAGAAGAGAAGTGTCAGGGAAACCAGTTCCTAGGAGATTTGCTTGTGTCCAGAGACCAGGAGAGCCTCGTGCCCTGAGGCGGGACCTTTGCAGCGACTGTTGGCCATGCCCCGTGAGTCTCTGGCTGCTCTGGGTAAAAATAGCCTGCCTGCTGAAATATTCATGGAGCCTCCTGGGGGGGGGGGCTCTCCTGGAGCCTCAGGGCCCCTGCCAATCTCTTCTTTTTCAGGGCTGTGATGGGAACCTCCAGCAGGAAGAAGCCCCTGGCTCAGACCACAAGGGTGAGTTCCCCAACGTTCCCTGCCCCATTGCACAGCCTGGGTCCCCGGTGCCATCACGGGCCCAGTTGACTGGCCCGGCATGTTCACGCTTCCTGTCTGCTCCACCCTAGAAAAAGCTGCATTATAGATGTGGTATTGGGGAGGGCAGAGCCCAGCCTCAGCCGTGCCAGCCTCGGTCTCACCGCGGTCCTGTTCCCTTTTCCTTCCCTACCCTGAGAAATACCTTTGGCAGCTCCTGGAATAGACATCCCAAGGCTAAGGGGATGACTGGGCAACAGAAGAAGCTGATGGTGTCAGGGAGGGCAAAGGGGGCGGGGAGGGGCAACAACGTTGTCTGGCCTGGTGCAGGCACCCTCTGGCTGTGGGAGGCAAGAGAACAGTGGGGTCTAAATGCAAAAGACCTGAGTTCAAATTCTAACTTGATCCCTCACTATCAGCATGACTTTGGACAAGTCCCTTCAATTCAGCTAAACGCTACGAGCATTTATTAAGTACCTGCTATGTGCTAGGCTCTGGGAGTGAAAAGACAAAGAGGAAAAGCAATCCCTGCCCTCTCTGTACAGTAAGGAGTCCGAAGCTCCTTGGCGGACTCGCCTCCCAATGGCCTTTTGAGATTGGCATTGTAAGGGGTGGAGGAGGACACTGAGGGTCATAGGGGTCGACGGCTCATCCAGGGCCCCGCAGCAGTTGACCGCAATGCCCGCTCCCGCCTCCCCATTCCTCTCTCCCTAGGAGCCTCTGTTCCCAGAGTCCTTTTGGACAATCAGAGCTATGCGACTGAGGCAGACTGGGAAGGAGGGAGCGGGCAGCAGAGCCCAGGGGCCACTCATCCCTGCCCTCCAGGAGTTCGCACATTAGCTGGGAAGAAGCCTCCTCTTGTGCAGTCAGGCCCCCTCCCCCTGTCCGACCTCTGACTGCCCCAGCCCAGGTGGGGAGGAGAAAAGCGAGGTCCTCTGGGGCAAAGGCCAGCCCCAGAGGATGATGATGAAGGGGACTTCCGCCTCCCTTTCCATCCCTCACACCTTCCCTTCTCTCATGCCCCTTTTGTAGTTCAGTGCCCACATCCTCTTACTCAGCATAGCCACCTTTTCAACCCATCGCTTGGCTCAGAAAAAGGCCAAGCCTCCCCAGCCCAGTAGAAGGGGGCAGGTGCCTGACGCAGGCCTGGCCGGAGCCGACCCCAGCGTGAGGATGTGGCCCCAAGCAGGGAGCTCACGGGGGCGCTCAGTGCCAGTTCCCGGGCTGGAAAGAGTTAATTGGCAGCTGTGGTTCACTGCTTCTCCTTTCTGGGGTGAGGCAAGACGGTAGCTTGGAAGGCCAGAGATTCTGCACGTCCTTTATATCTCCAGCAACTGGAAAGAAAACTTTGGCAAGCAGCCTTGCATTTGTCAGGGCCCTTGTTTCAGAAGGCAGGCTAGGACGAGGCCTCACCCCTGAGCCTGTTTGTCCATCTGTCCAGAGGAGACTGCTCCCAGCTTTGACTTCTCGGGCATGAGGAGCCTGCTGTGGGACCAGAAGGGGCATGAGGGGCTGCCTCGTCCAGCCCCTCACCTCATCGATGTTAGGGATGCAAGACTCTGGGATCCATGCTCAGGGCATCGCAGAGTTAGAAGGGACCTCGGCAGTGGCTGCTCTGGCCCGAACATGAGAAAGCTCTACCCCCAATCCCCAGGCGGCCACCGTGTCCCTCCAGAGTCAGGGTCCTGGAAGAGGTCAACATCGCTCCCACTGTGGGCAGACTTGAAAAAGAGAAAATTTGACAGGAATATAAGTCGGCCTTTTGCTGCTGTTCTTCAGCCATTTTCAGTCGTGTCCGGCTCTTCATGGCCCTATTGGGGGTTTTCTTGGCAGAGATACTAGAGGGGTTTGCCATTTCCTTCTCCAGCTCATTTTGCAGATGAGGAAACTGAGGCAAATTGGGTGAAGTGACTTGCCCAGGGTCACACAGCTAGGAAGTGTCTGAGGCCAGATTTGAACTTGGGAAGATGAGTCTTCCTGACTCCAGGTGCAGCAGGTCAAGTTCCCAAGAACAAGATAGGTATAATATGGCAGGAGGAAGGAAGTATGACAAAGATCTGGTGCTCTTTGTGGACCACAAGCACAATGGGTATGAACAGCCTGATAGCGCTTTGATTTTAGGCTGCAGTAAGAGCAGAACATAGTGTCCACCCCGGGAGAGGCGACACTGCCCTCGTACGCTGTCCTGGTCACACCACACTCGAGCTCTGGCTCTAGGTGGCACATTCTAGGAAGGATATGGACAGAGAAGCTGGAGAACCAGTGGAGGAAGGTGACCAGGACGGCGAGATGATGTCTAGGAGGACAGGTTAAAGAAACGGGGAGTGTTTAGCATAAGGAAGAGGAGACTTGGGGAGGATGCAGATTCCCAGTGCCCAGAACATAGCAGGAGCTTAATAAACACTCGTTGATTAATTGGGTGGGTGGGTGCCTGCTTCTTTGGGCTCAGTGGCCCTTGAGATTGTGTGTTCCTATCCCATTCCCCCTGCGTTCTCCTCCCCCTCTGTTCACAGTTGAATTAGTGGGTTTGATTTGAGGGTTGTCAAGAAGGCATTGCCCCACCCCAGATATCTCCCTTACCGGACAGGCTGGTGCCTGACAGCCCCACCCTCTTGCCAAGCCCCAGGCCCCAGCAGGCAGATGTCAGCCCCCTGACCCCTGGCAGACCTCTTTCACCTGCCAAACCCCCCTACCAGATGCTGAGTCTGGTTGTGGGGCGGAACCCCAGCTGGAGATGAATCCCAAAGAAATATACAAGGCAAACTTCTTAGCTTTGGGGAATTTCTGTGGGTGTAAGGAGATGCCATTTCTCCAAACAGTCATCCTGTCCCTAGCCCAGAGTCTGGTGCAGGCCAAGCACTCGACCCATGTTTGTGGAATTAGATCTTCTAAGAGCAAGAATCACAGGAAGAAAGAAACTGGCCTGGGGCCGCCCTGAGCTCTCAGGACTGCTGCTCACATAGCCCCGGGCAGCTCAGGTCAGCCCTGGTAATATTAGCTCTATTTGTTCTCAGCACTTAAAGCTCAGCAGATCAGGTTTTGGGTGGGCCGGTCATGAGGAGCTCAAGTGGAAAGAGACCCAAATGTCAACTTTCTCTGTAGCCAGCGAAGTTAGGGCCAGATTAGTGGTGAGAAGTTGAGCCCCAGAGCTGACCAGAGATCAGCCCCTCAGTCCCCCGGAGCCCAGACAGCTTCAATATCTTCCCCTTCCCTTTCCACCACCAACCTCCCAGGAGAACAGGTGAAACATGTCCCTTATTTCTCTTTTGATCAGAACTGGCCTGGAGAAACTGCCTCAGAAGAGGAAGAGACTGAGGACTTCGACATTGCTTTCATCAAGGAACATGGTAAGTCCCAAGAAATCCTTTTCTTTGAATGAGAGCACCAGGGTCAAGAAGCAGAACACACAGTTGTCCAAAGAAGAAATGTAAACCATCAACAGCTGTATGAAAGATTGCTCAGACTAAGAGGAATGTATGCTGAGGTACGCTCTGAGGTTTCAACTTGCACCCTCAAATTAGCAAGAATGGAGGGCTAAGAAAGAACTTCAGAGACCATCTAATACAACCTCCTCATTTTCCAGCTTTGGACACTAAGGCCAAAAATTGTTAATCACCTTTACCAAGTCACCCTGGTGGTAAGTGCCAGGGGTGGGATTTGAGCCACTGACTATAGAATCTGTGCTCTTAAGTGGAAATAAATCAGCATTGGAGGGGCTGTGGCAAAACCCGCAGTTGGATTGGTCCAAACATTCTGGAACATACTTTAGAATTACGCAAGAAAAGTCACGAACCTGTTCATACTTTTCCGTCTAGCAACCACAACATCAGGCATTTACAGCGGAATGTTCACAGCAGCACTTTTTGTGATAGCAAAAAGCTGGGGACAAAGAGGGTGCCCGTCAATGAGAGATGGGCTGACGTAAGTCACGGCACACAAATGCCGTAGGATATTATTATTGCCCCACAAGAAATGAGGAATGTGAGGAATTCAGGGAATCACGGGAAGACTTGTTTGAACGGACGCACGGCAAAGAGGTAAAGAGGTCTACAGATGGTCCCAATAGCGTCAGCGAAAACAACACCCACATACCACCCAGCTCAAAGGAGTAGTGACTGATCTTATCCCCGAAAAAATAAAGAGGACACATTTCTCTCTTTTGATAGAAGCAACAGATTATGGGTACTGACTGTGTATATTTCGACAGTTACAGTTGTTGGGTTTTGCCCAAATTCTTCTGTCATGAGGGAAGATTGACTGGGGGGTGGTATATTGGGAGATGATTCTGATGGTTAAAAAAGCACAAAAATCCAAGTTATTAGTTGTATATAGGTGTGGGGGGGTAGAACATTATGAGCACCAATCCTACCTAAAGGGGCTAAGGGAGGCTAACCCACCTTTCTATCAATGAATTGATGCTGCTGCTGCTTCCTTCAGGGTGGGCTGCTCTGTTTCCTTGCTTGGTCAGAGTTGATATTTCTTTCCTTTTTTTGGCTAGGCAGTGGGTTAAGTGATTTGCCCAGGGTCACACAACTAGTAAGTGTCAAGTCTGAGGTCGAATTTGAACTCGGATCCTCCTGACTCCAAGGCCGGTGCTCTATCCACTACACCACCTAGCTGCCCCCAAGAGTTGATGTTTCTTCTCTTCACTTCCCGCCCATTGCCCATTGCCCATTGCCCCCCTGAGGGGCCGCTATCTGAGCTTGAGACCTTCCATCCTAGACTGAGATGCAGCTCGGGACTGAAGTTTTTGTGGAGATGCCCTGCCCAGGAGTCCATGTTTGAGCAAACACCCATGTCCTTGGAAGACGGCCCCACCAGCCTCCTGGGTCAGCTCTGTGTCCTGAGCCCACAGTCCTGGCTCGGAAGGACACCCGGATGAGCTGAGTTCAGATGGGGCCCCTGCTTTCTCCTTGCCCAGCATGGTATCCCCTGGAATTAACGGCCTCTCTTTGAATGTCTTTGCTTCAGGTGCCTTGGCAGGGTCGGGTCTAGCCTGGGAGACCCCAAGGGGCACCCTCCACAGATGAGCGGCCCACCTTCTCCTGAGGGGCCCTCCAAGCCTAAACCTGCTGGATTTTGGGGCTTTCTAAGGTAAGGAAGGGCTTATCTCTTGTTTTGACTTGAGACCCCATCAAATGATCCCCTCCCAGTAAAATGAGAGTCATAAGAGCAAATTCCCACCCTCAACCAAAGAGCCTTCTATACTATGTAAAAGGCAACAGAACTGAAAGTCTCAGGATAATCTCCCTAAGGTAGCTGAGATTCCATCACATCACTCTCTTGCTCAAAGACCTTCAATGGCTGCCCACTGCCAACCACAGAAGGCTTGGATGCCTGAGCCTGTCCATGACTGTCCAGAGCCTGCTTCCAATTTACTTCCCACCCCTTATCTCATGCTGACACATCCTCTTTGTGTCCACCAGACTGGGGACCTACCATTCCTTCTACACCCTCTTGTGTCCAGGCCTGTGCTCCCCTCATCCCCTGGGTGTAGAACGTACTCTCCTCCATCGGGTCTTCTGAGTCCTTACGTTCCTTCAAGGCCCAATGCAGTTGCTACCTCTTCCAGGAAGCCCCCGCCAAACCTTCCTTCCCTCTCTCCCCACCTAGGGAAACCTACCTCCCCCTCCCCAGATTTCTTCCAGCCTTTGCCTGGATCCTCCCGCGCCCTGACCTCATTTTCCTTTATTTGTATACATCTTTTCCTGGTATTAGACTGTAAGTTCCCCAAAGGCAGGGTCTGTATCTGTATCTCCAGTACCTAGGGTCTTTAAAATACCCACGTCCCAAAAGGCTTAACATAGTTTTAAGCTTATAAAGCTATATTTGTTGGGTGGATAAATGTGTTGGATTTAGAGTCCGAGGACCTGGATTCAAATCTCACCCTGTCCCTTACTAGCTGTGTGATATTGGTAAGGCACATTTTCACCCTATATTTCCTCAGTTGTAGCATTGAAGGAATGGGATGCGAAGGCCTGTGAGGGCCTTTTCAGCTCTCAATCTGTCATCCTTTGTGTGAATGATTAAGGGTTGTTCCCTTTCATGGGTCCCCCAGATGGGAAAACTCCTTCCAGCAGAGTTCCCTCATCTACAAAATGAGGCATTGTACATGGATGACCTTGAGGGTCACTTCCCAGGACCAGTGTGTGTCCCATGTCCTGCATCCTATTATGTCCTACATCCAGAGAGCCATGGGCTCCCATGCATTTCTCTCTGCTCTTCCTTCCAGCTCCCTCTTCCCGTTCAGGCTCTTCAGCAGGAGGGGCAGCCAGTGAGCCTGGCAGAGGACAGCGGCAGAGGAAGGGACTGCCTGGTCCCGAGTGACCCTCTGCTGCCTCAGCCCTGTTCCCTCGGCCGGCCAGAGAGGCGTCCAGAGAGGCGAAGAAGGCTGAGGCCTGGCCAGGGCTGTGCTTTGTTTCTGGCAGCGCACGTCTGTTCAGAGTCAGCGGCTGGGGGGAAATGAAGGCATTTGTTCCGTTCTGGTGGTCCTTTTTTTTACTGCCCTGAGAAGCAGTTTGGGTCTCTGGTCTCCAGCACTTAGGGTCCTAACAACAAATCATTTATGAAGAATTATCAATTAGTGGAGTGAAGGAAAGGAAGAAGGGGGGGATTCCTCCCTCCTTTTGGCACAAAGGGATTTACTGGGGAAAAGCCCCCCCCCCGGTCAGCTCCAGCTTGCTGGCAGAATTCAGGGCAGGCTCCCAAGTCCAAGCCTTCTTCCTAGGGGCTTTCAGAGCGGCTCTCTGCCCTGAGCCCAGCCTTGTAATTGTCGTATTTGGCCCAGACCTGTGATTTCGTCCGGGTGGGTAATGGAACTCCTGGCATGGGGAACTCCTTCCCCTGATGCCAACAGCAGCTCATCCACAGCAGCCGGTCTCAGAGCATGGTCTGGCACATTCAGAACTCAAGTGGCTTGCCTGGGATCACAGATACTATACATATCCAGAGGCAGACTTGAACCCAGTTCCTTCTGTCTCCACCCTCTGTGCCTTCCTGCCTCTTAGGAGCCCTGGCCTTCCTTTGGGAAACCCCTCCTGGCTGCGGGTCACCCAGCTTGTCCTCTGGGTCGGACCACCCAGCAGCCTTCCCCCTACAGTCTGCCCCCCAGTCAAGCCCAGGCACCCTGGGGCTCAAGCCTCACCTCTGCCCCTTCAATACCTGTGTCTGCTGGGCAAAGGCCCTTCCTTCTGTGGGCCTCAGCCTCCTCCTTGTAGACAGAGGGCCTGGGCATGAGTCCCACCTGATACCCGTGGGAACCCTAACTCACACATTTCCCCTTTCTGTGCCTCAGTCACCCGCCCTATAAATTGGAGAGATGAATGCTGGCCCGTTGGTGTGTGGGGGCTGTTGCCCAGAAGGGGCTTTAAAACCTTGGGTGGGTGGAGTAGGAGGCTTTGCCCCTTTCACTTTTCTGCAAGAGTTGGGGTTTCCCCTGCAGGCCTCTCTTTGGCTGGACTGTGGTACTGGGGGCTTGGTGCTCAAAGGGCACCAGGAGCCCCAGGGAACAGAGAGCTTTGAGCAGCTTGGGGCCCCGGGCTGGATAGGAAGCACTTTATGGGCCAGGTCTTCACTCCTCTTCCCACTGTGCCACCCTGCCGCTCCACGAGTGAATGACAGGCTTCATGTGGGCCACCCTGACCACGGGACGCTCCTCTTCAGCTCTCCCCTGTTCCCTCTGCACTTGGTCCCCTTGTCCTGGTCCGTCGGTGAGAGAGACAAGCAGGAACACTTCTGGCCCAGAGCAGGCAGAAAGGTCTTTCTTTCAATCACGCGTGTCCCTGATGATCACCCAGACACACAGGAGGTCAGGCTGGACGGCTCTGAGGTCGCTTCAGGCTCCAGATCTGAGATCCCATGATCTTCCCCCTCTAACTCAGAACTCTTAACACTGATGCCTCCCAGCTCCACACGGGGGATCTAAGTTTGGGCTTGCACTCAGCCAACTACCCCCACCTCTCCTCGGCCCACAGAGCTCCCCAGGATGCTTCCCACCTTGATCCATCTGCTTAGCAAGGAGGGGGCTCCGGAAACCCCACTGCCCCACAGACTGGACCCCAGGACATCCTCGTGGCCCCGGGGTGGGCCCCAGTGTAAGGGAGACAGGAGCCCCTCTCCGGTGGGAGTTCCCCAGAGGCCTCCAGGGGAAAAGGGGGTGGGGGTGGTGAAAGCTGATCTCTACTCGAGGGTGTGTCCCCAAAGCCAGGGAGGGATAAAAGCAAGAGAGCACAGCCCCATTCCAGAGACGGAGGGACGACGGGCAGAGTCATCAGCAGCCTCCACCTGGCGTTTGTGACACCAAAAGTGGTGAGAGCGGCCCTGGTGGGACAGAGCCGGGCCTGGGTCCTGGGGCACCGAGCAGGGGCCAGGAGGGCTGGGGCACAGCCGAGGGAAACCGTAGGCAGGCCTGGGGCACACACAGACCTCCAGCAAGCCAGCGCCTCCATCCAGAGAGAAGCCCAAGAGGGGTGAGCATGCACACACATACCCACGCACACACACACACACGCATACATGCACATACATGCGTGCAGAACACAAAACGCAGCGCACATTCACACATGCATGCGCACACATACCCACATATATACATGCATGCGTGCACACATACACACATACACCCTGCCCGCACTGTTTCAGAAACCCATGTCATGGCACTCCCCAAGACCTTGCTCTTTTCCCTGCTGCTCCTGCTGGCGACAGACACCGGGGCTCCGGAGGCCGGGGTCCCAGGCTGTTACCTGCACCGTGAGTAACTGGGGAGTGACTGGTCCTGGGCCACCTTGTCCTGGGGGAGAAGCCTCTGGGGGCAGGATGCATGGGAAGCTGGGCTGGGGGGGGGCTACAAACATGACAGCCCCAGGGTGGGGGGTCTCAGGCACAGAGCCCTTTGCCCGTCCTTTCAGCCATCAACGTGACTGTGCGGAGTGACCGCCAGGGCACCTGCCGGGGCTCCCACATAGCTCACGCCTGCGTGGGCTACTGTGAGTCCAGCGCCTTCCCTTCCCGGCACTCGGTGCGGGCAGCCAGCGGTTACCAGCACAACATCACCTCAGTTTCCCAGTGCTGTACCATCAGCCGCCTGCAGAAGGTCAGGAGCTGAGAGGTCGGGGCGGGAGCAGGGGGAGACCACGCAGAGACAGCCGGGGGCCTCTCTCCCTACATCTGGCCCCTACTTGTCCAGGTGAAGGTGGAGTTGCTGTGCCCCAGGAGCCGGCGGGAGCAGCTGGAGATCTTCACGGCCCGGGCCTGTCAGTGCGACATGTGCCGCCTGTCTCGCTACTGAGGGCTCCTTGAGCCTTCCTTCCTGGCGGGCCCACTCATCCCCCACCTGCCCCACCCCCGACCGTCCCCGGATGGAGGGACTCCGAACTGGGAGTCAGCACACGTGGGTGCCGGGTCCCTGGCTCTGCTGATGAATTCAGTGGGCGACTTGGGGAAGCTGATCCCCCTCCCTGGGTCCCTTTCCCACCAAGTCCCTCCCAGCTCTGACTGTCCACGTTCATCTCTGCCCTTCTCTGTCCTCTGGTCCCCCTAAGCTCTGTAACTGCACTCTCAGAGCTGACCTCAGCCCGTCACCGGCCTCTGGCCTGCCGGGGCCTCAAGCTTTGTGCTCTCTGACATGGGGGGGACCCCCAAATAAACTGACCAGCTCTGGAGTTTCTCTCTTTATTCAGTCCACCCCCATGAGTAGGAAGAGGGGAGCAGATCATGATTCATCCCCAGGACCTTGGGAGCCCCCTCTCCCCTGCCCCCCTCCCCATCCACTCCCTGCCCAATAAATAAAAAGGGGAAGAAGTTTTGCAGGGGGAGGGAGTGCCCCAAGACCGAGGCTGGGGGAAGGGCAATAAATATATCCTGGAGTCCATGGGGTGGGCAGGGAGCGAGGGAAGGCCCTCGCGCTGGCACGAGGTGTTCCCAGGGTCCTGGGCAGGGTTCCAGGGTCTTTTGGGATGAGGTGGGAGGGGAGAATAGGGCCCCTGAATCTACCGGAGCCCAGCTTGAGGGGGTGCCAAACCCCTTGCTGACAGCTCCTGGGGGCCCTTGGCCCATCAAGTCCATTTGGGATGGCTGGAGGACTCTGCCCGGCTAGATGCCCCAACTCCTCCCTCTCCCCCCAGGTCTGGCCAGGGTGGTCAGGTGGGGGGCCCTGCCTCACACTCTGGCGTGACCCCTGGGGGCAGGCTGGGGGTTAGGGAGCAGTGGGGCTAGGATGAATGGTTCAACTGCCTCTGTGTGTGTGTGTGTGTGTGTGTGTGTGTGTGTGTGTGTGTGTGAGGGGGGGGGTCCCTCTAGCTCTGCTCCCCTCCTGGGGCTGGCCTGGCCCCAAGCCGGTGGAGCAAAGCTTCATCTGCACCCTGCAGCCTCCGCAGCCGGAGCTCCTCCAGGCCTTTCCACAGCTCCTGTCGCTCCCGGGCCTTCTGCTGCTCCCTGGGCAGGCAGGACAGAGGGCACGGAGAGAGAGGGGGGAGGAGGGGTTAATGAGGCTGCAGGCTCTGGCTCAGTCCAGGTGAGGGCCCAGACAGGAGCCCCAGCCCCACCCCACCCCACCCCCACCACTCACTGCTGCTTCTCCAGTTTGTAGGAAGCCGTGAGTTCATCAAATAGCTTCCCGTTCATCTCCATGAAGGTTTTAAGCACGTTGTAGATCAGAGACACGATGGTCCTGGGGGTGGGAGACCAGGAGAAGAGATGAGGCTGGGGAGATGGGGGATGAAGGTCCAGGTCTGGGAGGAGAGGATGGGACATGCAGGAGATGGTGGAGCTTCCTGAGGGCATCTGGGGCCGACAGAACAGTCAGCAAGTATTGATGGAGAGTGGTCTATGTGCCGGGCACCAGGGAGGGGCCTCAGAAGTCAGCTTATCCCACCTCCACCATCCAGCATCCCTGACAAGTCCTGGCCTAGAGGCTGCCCCCAGCAAGATGGAACCCATCCCACCTCCACCTACTGATTAGCTCTCACACTCTCCCAGTCCTGCCTCTGGGACCGAGCGGGACAAGGCTGACCCCTCTTCTTCCCACCCTACCCTGCCTCCCAGTCTTCTCCAAGTGAAAAATCCTCACCCTCCCTCCACTCCAGAACTGAACTTGCAAGCCCCTCAGACTGGGTCTGACATGGGTGTGGGACAAGAGGACAGTCGCCCCCTTAGTCCTGGACTCTCTTAGCAGGAAGGATCTATTTATCTAGGAACAGACCCAAATCTAGAACCACAGAGTTTCAGAGTGGAGAAGGACCTTACACGACCTAAGCTTTCATCTGGTTCATGTCTCCTCATCTTATAGATAAGGAAAATGAGCCCAAGACAGGTTAAGTGAGGTACCCAAAGTCACACAGGTACTAAGTGGCACTGCCAGTCCTACACTTGGGTTCAAAAATTAGCTTCCTGAGGCATGGGAGGCAATGTTAAATGTCAGCCTATCTGAAAAAGATCTGGGGGTCTTAACGGAATATAAGCTCCATATGAGTATGATGGGCATCCAAGAAAGCTGATGTGATCCTGGGTTGCATTAGGAGAGTCATAGCTCCGAGGCCTATGGGGGCAGTAGGCCTGCTGGGCCCTGCCCTGGGTGACCCCAACTGGAGCACTGTGTACGGGGGGGAAGCTGCAGAAGGTCCAGTGGAGGGCGACCAGGTGGGTGAAAGGCCTCACATTTGTGCCACAGACGGAAGTGGTTAAAGAAATGGGGCAAGGTGAGCCTGGAGAAGCCTCAATGGGCACTGGGGAGCTGAGTTCAAATGTCTGATGAAAGATTAGTCTGGGCTGTCCCGAGTGGAATGGGCTGCCTGGACAGGAGGTGAGCTCCCTGTCTCTGGAAGTCTCCAAGCAGGGGCCACAGGACCATTTCTCAAACATATCAGAATGAGGATTCCTTTCATGAGGAGGCTGGACTAGACTTCTGGGATTCTTTCAGAGATGGTGCTGGAAGGTCGGGGAAGGACTTTAGAACACAAAACAACCTCAGGGCTGGGAGGGGCCTCAGAACAGGGGATGTCAGGGCTGGGAGGGGCCTCAGAACAGGGGATGTCAGAGCCCAGGGGGGCCTTAGAACAGAGGATGTCAGGGCTGGGAGGGGCCTTAGAACAGAGGATGTCAGGGCTGGGAGGGGTCTCAGAACAACAATGTCAGGGCTGGGAGGGCCTTAGAACAGGGGATGTCAGAGCCCAGGGGGGCCTTAGGACACACACCATCACACCCACCATCAGCTGTCACACTGCTGTTCTAAGGGGCCGGTCTAATCATGTCTCAAACACCACCCCTTTCCCCCATTCAAGAAACCCCAGGGCCTCTCTGCAGTCTCCAGGATCAAGTGGCTTGGAAAGCCCTTCCTCCCCTGGCCTCCCCACCCTCCACCTCCAAAGTCCATCCTCCTGGCTATTGCCCGAGCCGTTTTACTGGGAGTTGCCCTCCTCATCCCCCCTGGCCTGCCTGGCTGCAATCCCACCTTCCTCCAGAAGCCTCCCGATCGCCCCAAGGCTGGAGCTTTCCCCTGGCCACCTGTCTACACTCAGTGGGTGCAGCTGTCAGTGCAGTGGCTGCTGGCAGGGGGCGAGGGGCCGGCTTTGCCTTTCTCCGGGCATCTGTCCCTAGGGTGTAGGCCAGTGCCTGGCACACAGTGGGTATTCGCTCAGTAAGTGTCTTTTGACTTAGAACAGCAAAGGCCAGAGTGGGGGAGGCCCCTGGAGCCCACATCAGTTACAGGGCTGGCTTAGGACGGTCAGGCCCGCGCCCCTCCTCCTCCCACGGGGCACTCACGGGTTCCAATGCTCTTTGGAGACGCGGTAGAGGGTCCCATACACGGTGGGCAGCACGGTGTGACAATTGTCCTCAATGAGGCTGAGGATGTACTCATTGTTCCAGAAATACAGAGCCCGCTCTGAAACCTGCAGGAACCGGACAGCGGGTGAGCCCCAGGGGCCCAAACGCAGCCTGGGGCCCCAACCCCGATTCCCTCCTGGTCTCAGGGCCTGGCACGGTTGGCTCTCTCTGCTGGCCATCATGGTCACCCCTGGCAGGGCTGAGCCATCCCCAGGTTCTAGACTGGGACCAGAAGGGCTCTCGTCTTATGCGGGGGGAAACTGAGGCCTTCGGGGGCAAGGGACTTGCCCACAGTCACCACAGCAGCCTCCACAGCCAAAGCCGGCCCTCTCCCTACCGTACCAAGATGTCGTTGTCAGAGCTGGAAGGGATCTCAGACCTCATTAGTCCAGCTCTCCGATTTTACAGATGTGAAGACTGAGGCCCAGAGATGGCCAGGGGAGCCGGGGCCTCCTGTCTCCTGGATCAGGGGGCCCAGGGCTGAGGGGAAACTACATGGGGTGATGCGCTTAGAAATTTAGAGGTCAGCTGGTCCAACTCCCACATTTTACTGGTGGGGAAACTGAGGCCCAGAGATGTCAGGTGACTTTGTCCAAGATCACACAGGTGGTGCCTCCTCTTGGGCACCTTCTTTCTGGGCCTCAGTTTCCCCACCTGTAAAACAAGGGAGCTTGACTCAGTGACCTCTAAGGCCCCGCCCTGTGCTAAATCCTAGGACCTTAAGACATACACAGATTCCCCCCATGTGAAACGTGGAGGCTGAGCCGCATCATCTCTGAGGGCCTGTCCAGGCCCACGTGTCAGTCTGTCTGTCTGTCTGCCCTGCTTCCCCTCTGTACCTGGAAGTGGGGGCTGGAGACACATCGAGCCACCTGTTTGAAGAGAGGTTCTTGAATCTTGACAAACTGGGAGGGCTCGATGACATCCAGAATCTCCTCCATCTCCCCCAGGAACATCACCTGACAGGTGGGGGGCATCAGTCACTCCCTCGCCAGAGACACCACAGCCCCCTGCACAGCCCCCCAGCCCCTCCAGCAGCCCCCCTGCACAGCCCCCCAGCCCCTCCAGCGGCCCCCCTGCACAGCCCCCCAGCCCCTCCAGCGGCCCCCCTCCCCAGCCCCCCAGCCCCTTCAGCGGCCCCCCTCCCCTCCCCAGCCCCTCCAGCGGCCCCCCTCCCCTCCCCAGCCCCCCTCCCCTCCCCATTCCCTCCAGCACCCCCTCACATAGCACCCCCTCCCCAGCCCCTCCAGTGGCCCCCCTCCCCTCCCCATTCCCTCCAGTACCCCCACACACAGCCGCCCTCCCAGCCCCTCCAGCGGCCCCCCTCCCCTACCCGTTCCCTCCAGCAGCCCCTCCAGTGGCCCCCCCGCAGAGCCCCCCAGCCCCCCCTCCACAGCCCCTTCCCCCACAGACTGCCTCCCCATTCCCTCCAGCACCCCCCCCACAGCCCCCCCTCCCCAGCCCCTCCAGCGGCCTCCCCGTACCTCCTTCTGGGTGCAGGTTTTAGGCCAGTATTTGAGCAACCCCCGGATCACCTGGGGGACAGAGGGAAGTCAGAAGGAGGGAGCAAAGGCCCTGCTGGCCCGCCCCCTCAGAGGATGGGCCACTCTGGCACCCTGGTCACTCACATGCTCTGTCAGGGTGGCATCCTTTTCCAGGAACTGTACTACGCAATACGCCAGCTGCAGAGGGTGGGAGACAGACAGACAGACAGACAGGCAGGACAAAAAGAACAAGCCAGGTGAACCAGCAGCCCCCGACAGAGGCAGGGTGCGAGGGGGCACCACCATGCCAAAAGGGGAGGGATTATGTAGAGCTGGAAGGGACCTCAGAGGGCATCGATGCTTCCCCCCCCCCCGCTTTTAACAGACAAGAAAACTGAGGCCCAGAAAGGCAACACGACTGGTCCAACGTCCTAGCCAGGAAACAGCAAGGCCAGTGTTAACCCCTTTGCTCTGCCCCACGATGTTCCCTTAAAATTTCAAACAGGGAAATCCCTCTCTTGGGTTAGCCTTGGGGTAGGCCCACTGTCCTCTGAACATCACTTGTGATGCGAAGAGGCTTGGCTGGGGGGGTCTTGGAGGCCCTTTGAGGCCTTGAGTCCTCTGGTTCTGTGTGAGGACTGGACCTTGGGCCAGGAACTGGTGGGGAGGGGGAGGCTCACCTGGGCATGGAAGTTGGAGAGAGACTTGACTGAATGCAGGGGAATTAGCACGCGCACCAGGAACTGTTTGTGCTCAGTCTTCAGGGGCAAAGCAAACCCATTGATGATGCTGTGGAGGAGGGAGGAGGGAAGAGGGAGGAGAGGGAAAGAAGAGAAGAGGGAGGAGAGGGGAAGAGAGGAAGGGAGAAGAGAAAGGGGGGAGAAAGGGGAAAGAAAGGAGGAGGGGAGAGAGTAGAGAGAAGAGGAGGACAGAGGAGGGAAGGTAGCAAGAGTAGGGGGGAGGAGAAGGGACAGGAGGAGGCAGAAGGAAGGGGGGAGGAGGAGGGAAGGGGGAAGAGGAAGGAAGAGGCGAGAAGGAGGGGAAGAGGGAGGAGGGGAAGGAAGAGGAGGAGTGAGGATCCCAGCGGCTCGAGCCCCAGCCCTGCCCCTAGATGCTGGACAGCTCCCTGGGGGAGGCAGCTGCCCCGGGGCCCACACTGCACTGGCTGGTTTGCAGGTCTGGCTCACCTCCCCAGGATCTCCAGCAGCTCAGCCACACCATTGAAATGCTCTAGCTCATAGATGAACCTGGGGTCAGGGGAAGGACTGTAAGGGGGGGGGGCTTTTGAGCCCCGCCAACCTGCCAGAGCCCCGGCCCTTCCCAGTCCCACAGGAGCTCTGTACCATTTGGGGGTCTGGCCCCACCCCTCCCAGAACCCTGCCCCGATGTGCCTCCCAGCTGGGGTCCTCACCTCACCCCCTACGAATCACCCTTTGCACGGTTCCCCACCCTCAGCCAGCCCTGCCCCCTACTGCACCCCCTCCTCTTTGCATCCCACAGCCAGGGTCCGGGTGGCTTTCAGACTCACCGAAGAAAGATATGGTTACATTGCTTCCGAATGTAAGCACGAAGGCCCAGGAACTTGCCATAGACCCGGTGCAGAATGGTTTTGAGGTACTCGCGCTCCCGGGGGTCCTCGCTGTCAAACAGCTCCAGGAGCTGTGGGGCCCAAGGTCAGGGCCAGGGCTGGCAGAGGGGAGGCCCCAGGCAGCCTCAAGGCCCGCTCCTTCCCTCCCTCCCTTGGCCGAGGGCCCCTCCATCTGGATCCCCAGGCACTGGACCCAGGCCCTCCCCTCCCCACCAGGGCCTCAGTGCATCAGGCCCCTGGGCTCCAGCCTCACCCACCATCAACACAAACTTCTGATCCACATATCTCTTGGCCACTGAGGGTTGGAAGTCTGGACTTTCCAAGAAACGTAGAAAAAATTCATAGACCAGCTGGGGAGGGGAGGAGATGGAGGACTTGAACCCAGCACCCCAGGCCCAAGTTCTCCTGCCAGGCCAGAGCATTTGGACCTCTTTCCTCTGCCCCAGCCCAGGTACCTGCAGGTGTGGCCAGGAAGGTTCTAGGTTGGGTTCATCCTCTTCAGGGTCAAACTCAGGATTCTCACTGGGTGGCAGCGTCCGGAAGATATTCACCGAGATCTAAGAGGAAGGGTCAGGGTGCTCAGGAAAGGCCCCCTTGCACAGCTGGCCTTCACTGCTGCTAGCTAGGGGCCAGTGGAGTGCTGGGCTTGGAGTCTAGAAGACCTAGGATCAGAACCTGCTTCGGACACTTCCTGGCTGTGTGACCTTGGACAAGTCTCTGAACCTAAATCCCTGGGCTCAGTTTCCTCATCTGTCAAATGCAGGGACCGGACTCAGTGGCTTCTAAGGTCTCTTTCAGCTCTAAATCTATGGTCTGGTGGCCCACCAAGGGCAAGTGGTCTGACCCAAATGCTGCCTTGGGAGGGAGCTGGGGGCCTCAGGCCTACTCACCATGCGGATGATATCGGGGTACACCGGCTCAATGAGGACACCCCGGGTGCCTCCCACACACTCCACCAGTTCGTTGAGGGCCGCTCGCTTCACCTCCTTCCCCTTCAAGTCGGCCACACAGTCCAGGAAATCGAAGAGGACCCCACACTGGGCCAGCTTCCGGCTCAGCAGATCATGGAGCTCGGAGGCTGGTACATCTGAGGAGGGAAGCCAGGGCCAGCCTGAGTCCTGGGGGTCGGGCTCCAGCAGCACGCATGGCCAGGGCAGCAGACAGGAGACAGGCAGATGGCCCCAAATCCTCGGCCCTGCTGTCTCCTTCCCAGGCCAGTCTTCTAAGGCCTTACCTGCCCCTGCCCCAGCCCCAGCCCTAGCCCCAGCCCTAGCCCCAGCCGATCCACCTGCGTCCCTGCTTGACTCCTTGGCTCTCCTAGGGCCCTGCCAAGATGCCAAGCTCTCTGCTTCTGCCTCTCCCTCTAATTTTCCCTTCTCTGGAGTTGAGCAGGAAGGGAATGGGTTTTTAAAGTAAAAAGCTGATCCCCAGAATCCTCAGCTTTCTGGGGGCAGCTGCTACAGTTACTAGCTCTCTCCTCTTCAGCCCATTCAGATATGAGGCCAGGAGCCACACCAGGTAAACAGTCTCAGCTGTCTCCCAGGAGGCTGGGCTGGAAAGGTAGGAATGTGCCTTAGGGATCCCAGTTAGGCACACACATACACACACACACACACACATCTCAGGAGCCCAGGGACTGGCTGAGAACTCCGCAGGACTCATTCTGCCCCGAGCATCAGCAGAACCAGCTGAAGGCTGGGCACAGGGCTCCCAAAGGGATCCCCAAGCTGGACTGAGGCACCCTACTCCAAGCTGGGATGCCCTACTGGGTAACGCCAGAGGCAGGACCAGCTCCCCACCTCCAACGATGACAGGCAGAACAGAACATGCGTCAGCAAAGGGGGTCAGAGGAGCGGAAAGAACAGGGCAGAGCCCTAGAGGACAGGCAGCAAAAAGGCAGAGCAAACCTGGCATCTGATCCTGGGGCATTCCTCCCAGGTCCCAGGGCCCACTCACCCTTGAGCAGTGGCAGGGGTGTGAGTTCCTGTTGGTTACTCTGGTATCGGAACTGGGAAGAGCTGTGGGAGCGCCTGGGCCGGGCCCGCCGGAGGGACCGCCGAGAGAAGCCATCTACTTTGTCCGGTGGGGGGACTGGAGATAGCCCCGGGGAGGAAGGGCTGGTTGGGGTGCTCGCTGGGGGCAGCTTGGTGTCCATGGTGACTAAGGGGGGCAGCAGCGTCAGGGGGCAAAGGGGGGAAGAAGTCAAAGCCCCCCCCACCAGATACCCACTCTGCCAAGAGGATGCTGGGTAAAGTCCTGGCTAGCAGGGAGCCCCTGGCTGACCCATCCTGGCCAGGATATGTTCCTGGTGAGGAGGGGCTCTGGTACAAGTATTACTCCCTTTGCCACCCCCCAAGGGTCCCACCAAGTAACCAGTCAGTCCCTGGGGGGCAGCTAGAAGAGGGGGGTCCTCAGGTGTCAGGCCCTTGGGGGAGGGGCGGGAGAAGCTGGTTATGGAGTTCTTATTGTGGGGAAGTCGAGGTAGAATGATCCTGGATGTAGAAATTGAGGCAGTGGAAAGATAGATGGGGGAAGGGGGGAGGACGGGAGCCAGAGTAGGGGAGAAAGAGAGAGAAAGACGAGGGAGGGAACTGGTTAATCTTCCTCTGAGGTCGGAGTGTGGGTAAGGAGGAAGACTCCCATATTCTCTCCCCAAAGCTGGAGGCAGGGCCACTCACTCACCTCCCAGGCACCCAGGTGTGGGGGGCCCCCTGAGGCTGGGTGGGACCCTCAGCTAGAGCCCCCCTCAGGGCCGGGGGTGCACGGCAAGGGTCCGGCCCCGCTTCGGCCTGGGGTAGAGAGCGGAGAGGCAGCACCCCTGGGTGTTCGCCCCAGCTGAGGAAGCCCGAGGCCAGGGGGTCCCCTGCAGGCGCTGGGGCATTCCCCACTGCACGCACCCCCCCCCTCCCGGGGCTGGGGCCAGGGCCGGGGCCAGGGCTGGGGCTGAGCCCGGGCTCGGGGTGCGTGCGGGGAGCTCCGAGCGCCTGGGTCCTGGGGAGCAATCGCAGGGAGGTAAAGGAAGGAGAGCCCTGCCGGAGCTGCTGCCGGTCCCCCCTTCCCCGTGTGGCCCCTGCGACTGAGGGGGGCCCCGCTCCCGGCTCTGGGGGGCGCTGGCGGGCGGCGGGAAGGGGGCCGGGAGCTCCGTGCGCTCCGCCTGCCTGCACCGGCCGCCCCAGCTGCTCAGAATGACATCAAGTCACCTCCCCCCCGCCCGCCCTGCGCCTCCCCGCGGGGGAGGGGGAGAGGAAAAGGGAGCTGCGTCATCGCGGCCCGGGCGGCCCGGGAAATGTAGTCCTGCTCCGCTTAAAGGCGCCGGGAATCCCCGCTCCGCAGCAAGCACCTGCCGGCGCTTGGAGATCGTCTGGTCCAACTCCATCATTTGACGGATGGGGAGACGAGAGACGCAGGGCATACGGAATACTGACTTTGGAGTGAGGGGGCTTGAAATCAAATCCTTGCTCTACCTGCCTCCCCGGTGAGGCAAGCTCCTCCCCTTGTCTGGGACTCAGTTTCCTCATTTGTAAAAAGCGTTGAACTGTGCGTCTCTGTTGAGGTCTCTATGGCCTTTGGGATCCTGGCGGGTCATGTGTCCTTCCCCTTGCCAGGTTTCCCCGTCTGGAAAAGGAGGAGGTGGTCCAGAAAGTCCCTAAAGCCCCTTCTTCCAGCTCTAAATCCGATTACCAAGCAACTAGCAAGGCCCTGGAGGCCAGGCAGGGCTGGGAGGAGAAGGGAACAGAAGGCTGTGTCCTGGGGAGGATGAATGAGCGGAGTGCCCAGCTAGGGAGCCTGAGCTGTCCTTCAAGGACCTGCCGCATGCTCAAAGCGCACCCCAATGCCTTCATTTTACAGATGAGGAAACTGAGGCCCAGAGAGAGTTCTCTCCTGTCTCCAGATCTGTCCCCGATTCCCGTCTGATTTCATAGCGCTTATGTTCTAATGCATCTCCTCAGATGCGCCCATCCAGGTGTGTCTCATGCTGGACAGTAAACTTCTTGAGGGGCTCCTCCTTGAAGCCAGCATCTTGGGTACCTTTCTCTCTGTACCCAGTACAGCGCCCTATTAAAAACATATTCGTTGACTGAACGATGGGTTTGGGAGACTTCCCTGGACCTAGAGCCCACAGCCTCCGATTCTGGGTAGCTGGGGAGGCCTATTCAGCCTCATCAGAACTTCAGTCCCTTAGAAGGCAGCAGCAGAAGCGTTAACCTGAGCTGGGCAAGCCAGGGGCCACTGGGAGATGTAGTTCTCCTGAGGCTGCCGGGAAATGAAGTCAGCCTTCGACCTGCAGTCCCCCTCCCTTCTGCACAGTCTTCGGTGACATCATAGTCTCAGGATTAAAGGGCCAGATTGGAATGGCAGGGTGGATGACTAACCCCGCCCAGGGCCGGACTCAGCTCCCCTCCCTGGGAGGAAATGAATTGATGGGGATCTCCACCTGGGGGCCAACAGAAAGGGAGAAAGAGGGGTGCTTATTACAAAAACAAACAAAACACTAGTAGAAGGGAAGGAGGCTGCTAGCTAGCCATGGGTTTCCCTCCTCAAGTACTGGCCTCCTTCCCAGCATCCCACCCCCAAAGGCCCTTTTCCTTCCTCTGCATCCAGAGTCCTCCAGCCTGTGCCCCCAGAGCCAAGCATCCCCCCATTCCCAAGCCCTTTCCCCTAGACTTCGTCACACCTTATATTCAGACTCTCCATCCTCTGTTTCTGGCCCCTCTCCTTCCATGCCCCACACCCCGAATACCAACATCTTGTGAGCTTTGCCCTGCTGACCTTTCAGCACATCATGCTCCAGCACCTCTCGGTTGAGTGAACTGGACATTGCTCCCCCTAAGTTGCAGTGTGGTCAGTTCCAAGGAGGGTGGCTTGTGGGCTGCAGGAGCATGGGCACAGGCAGGGGCCTGAGAGAGGAAGGGGAGCCAGGGAGGAAGGCAAAGGGTCTGGGGGGCCTGCTGGAGCGCGTGGGAGGATGGGGGTGCTTCCAGATGGTCCACGTGGCCATCGTGTGTGTGTCTTTTGCCTTTGTGAGCACCCACAGTTTTCTGCAGAACTTCACAGCCTCCATTCCCGACCACCACTGCAGGAGCCCTGGCAACCTCTGGCCAGTGGACGCCCAGGGGCGGCCGGAGAGGTGCCTTCGTTTCCGAGGCAATGCTACCAATGAGACGGAGACCTGTGTGGAGGGCTGGGTGTACAACCTCACCACCATTCAGAGCACCATCGTTACTGAGGTACCTACTGGGGCGATGATGATGATGATGGCAGCTAGCTTTTCTGTTTTCTCCACACGCGCTATCTCACTGGAACTCATGACAACCCTGGGGCAAGGGTGCTATTATTTTCCCCATTCTGCGGATGAGAAAGTTGAGGCTCAAAGGGGGAAGTGATTTTCCTATGGTCACGCAGCTAGAAAGTGTATGAGACAGGATTTGAACTCAGGTCTTCCTGTGTGTGTGAGGCCCTATGCCTAGGGCTTTGAAGGTCACAAAAAGGTCCTGTCCTCCTGGAGCTTACACCTAGTGAGAGTATGAGAAATGCTTGGGGAAACAACCTGATAAAGAAACAAGGTATTGTGGGAGTTTAAGGAGGAAGAAGTCCCTTCTGGCCTACAGGGTGGGTCAGTGCGGCAGCCTTCCCGGAGGAGGTAGACCTTGAAGGATGGTTAGGATTTCAGTGTGGAAAAAGATGAGAGCATTTCAGGCAAAGTGCCTGCTATGTGCCAGGCACTGTGCTAAACTGGTTATGGGAGGGAGTGGGAAGGACTGTGAGGGGGGGGTCATGGAGGCTTCCACGTCCTAAAGTGAGGGGCAGGGGAGCATTGTGAAATGTCAGGAATAATGGGTAGGGGTCAGACTATAGAGGGCCTTGAATGCCATGCAGAACCAGTCAATCATTCATGGAACCCTAGATCTAGAGTAGAAGGGGCCTCTGAGACAGACAAGTCTAACCCCATCATTTTACAGATGAGAAAACCAAGGCCCAGGGAGGTGAAATGATTGCCCAAGGTCACAAGGCAGTAACTGATCAACAAGCATTTATTAAGTTTCTACTGTATACCAGATACTGAGCTGTGTATACTGGGGCTGCAAAAAGGCAAAAATGCAGCACTTTTCCCTGTTAAGAAGCTGATCTTCAACCATGATGGAGTATATAGAGGACTGGACTTGAGGTCAGAAGGACCTGGGTTCAAATCCTGTCTAAGGCACTTATTCATTGTCTGACCCTCAGCAAGTCACTTCACTTTTGTGCCTCAGTTTCCTCATCTCCAACATGGTGATGGTAGTAGACTCAATGGCCTCTAGGGTCCCTTCCAGATACAAAGCTAAGATTGCACACGCACACACACACACACACGCACACACACACACACACACACACACACACACACACACACACGGCTTTAGGTGGAAGCTGTTTCTTGAGCAGTCGAAGAAAACAAGGGATTCTGATCAGTAAAGGTGACATGGGAGGTCATTCCAGGTACGGGGGATAGACAGTGCAAAAGCACAGAGGGGGGAGTATATTTGGTACGCAGGAAGTGCTTAATAAATGCAACTTCATCCATTCAACATGCATTAAGCACACTCGGTGTTGTGTGCACAGCCTTGGGCTGGCACTGAGAGACAGCGAAGACTAGTCAAAGTCACTGCCTTCCTGGAACTTCCAGTCTAGGGAGCTAAGATGCCAATGAAGAGATCTTTAACGAAAGACTATTACATGATAAGCCCCTGAGAGGGAGGGCAAACTTCCAGGGGAGGTCTGCTGGAGGAAGATCAGGGAAGTTGGCAGCAAGCCCCCCAAGACTTCGGAGCAGCAGGTGACAGATGCAGGGAGGAGGAGGAGGAGGAGGCCATGGTCTTCTGTGCCTCCTCCTTATCGCTATAGCAGGCCCCTCCAGGGCCTCGCCCTTTGGACTCCATTCTCTCCTCCCTCCTGACTCTTAGGCTGCTTTCCCAGGCATGTAACCAGTGCCTTACACTCCACCAGGAACCCTTTCACAGCCATGATCCCCACAATGGCCCTGGAAAGTACAGGGGGGAAACTGAGGCTCAGAGATGTGTTGTGAGCTCCCCAAGGTGCCTGGTGGCTGAGCCTGCCCAGCTCGGCTCTCCTCCCCACCGTTTCCCTCACCCCCAAATGACCTACACGGGCACAGATGCTCCCTCTCTCCCAACAGTGGGATCTGGTCTGCAGCCTGAAAAGCCTCCAAGGGCTGGCCCAGTCCGTTTACTTGGCAGGAGTGCTCCTGGGCGCCATTGTGTTTGGGGGGCTGGCTGATAGGTAAGCATCACAGCAGCCCTGGCTGGCTGGCATCCCTGGGGCCAAGGGTGGATTGGGAGTGGTCCCAGAGTGGACTGGACACTCCAGGGGCATGCCAACATTCATCATCCCCAGGACCAGGAAGAAAAGGCTGAAGAAGGCCTTCTCAGAGATGGGGATGGAGGGGTGAGGATTCCTGCTCAGGTAGCCGAGGCCCCTGCTAGAGCTGGCAGTCAAAGACGAACCCCCTTGGTCTGTGACTTGGATGTGCCTGACTCTAACTGGAATGGGGAGCTCTCCCTCTCTCCCCAGTCCCGGGCTCTGGTGGGGCTGCTCTAGCCCAGGCTGCCCTTGACCTGGCCCCTGCCCCCCCAGGCTGGGCCGCCGGGCCATATTCCTCTGGTGCCTCTTCCAGACGGCTGCTCTGAACACAGGGGCAGCCCTGGCTCCCTCCTTCTCCATCTACTGTGTCTGCCGCTGTCTGACCGGCTCTGGCATGTCCGGGCTGGTGCTCAATGGAATGGGACTCGGTGAGTGGGGAGAGGGGAAGTGCAGCTGGCCCAGAAGGCCTGATGGGTGTCCAGAGGCTCTAGCCCAGGCAGAGTCTCCAGGCAGAATGGGCGGACTGGCAGCAGGCTTTCTTTTTGCCACTCCCTGGAATGGAATAGCAGGTGACCCAAGGGGCTGCCAAGCACCCCCCACCTCTGACATTCTATGCTCCCTGATCATCCCCCCTTCCCTCCGCTTGCTGGGTGACTGTCCCCTTCACCCCAATGCCAAGAAACCAAAGTGCCCCTCTGCAGAGGTGGGCCTGCTGGGAGGAGGGGCTGGGGGGCGGTAGGCCTAGCAGGAAGGGTCAGCGCTGTGAGATGAGGCCTCCTCTCTCCGCAGTTCTGGAGTGGACGACACCCTCTCACCGAGCAGTGGTGTCTGGCTTCCTTTCCTTTGTGCTCAGCCTGGGGCAGCTGAATCTGGCCATTCTAGCCTTTGGCCTCCAGCACTGGAGGCATCTGCAGCTGGCCGCTGGGGCACCCTATGCCCTCTGCTTCCTCTGTAGTTGGTGAGCGCCCGGCGGGCCTGGGCTCAGCCACTTGCCATGGGGAGGGCTATGGGAATGCTGCTCCTCAGGAGCAGGCCTGGTCAGGCTGTGAGTTGACTTCTGACGCTGCAGGTGGCTCCCAGAATCTGTCCGGTGGCTGATGGTGAGGCGGCGCTTTTCTGGGGCCCTGCGGGCCTTGAAGCTGGTGTCATGGATCAATAGGGTTCCGGCAGCCAGGGCCCAGCTCTCCCTGGAGGTGAGGAGGTACAAGGGAAGGGGCTGGCTGCGCCCTCACCTAGCTCCAGGCTTTGCCCGCCACAGTCCCCTGGATCCAGGCCCCGAGAACCTTTTCTCTTCCTCATAGATGCTGGAATCAGAGTATTCCCAGGAAGAGCTAGGAGGAACTCCAGGGTCCTCTGTCCTGGACCTGTTTCGATCCCGGGAGATGCTGGCCATATTGGCTTGTATCATGGGCATTTGGTGAGTGAGGTGGGGAAGGAGACAGAGAGAAGCCAGGAAAGTTTGAGATGGGGGTGGGGGAACAGAAAGTGAATGAGAGACCCACGTGGCAAAGATGGAAGACCCTGGGCAGGGAGGGGAGGGCAGGCTCATCTCTCCTCTCCCCAGGATCTTAGTTCTAGAGACAGAAGGAACCTCAGAAATCATCTGGCCCAACACTCATTTTACAGATGAGGAAAACTGAAGCCTAGGGACTCACCCAAGGTCAGCAAGGTGGGTGGGTGCCTCTCTGGGCCACACCTTCATCTGCAAAGTTGGAAGGCTAGGCTGGATTTCCTGCAAGGTTCCTGGAATTCCAAACATTTATCAAACAGCATGTCCTCTGGCCAAAGTGCTCTGAAGAAAAGGGAGAAAGGGGACAATCCCTGCTTTTTATTTTAAAAATTTCTTTTAATTGACTGTGTAGGGTGGAGACTGGAGGGTGGGGAAGCCACCCATCCACCTGTGGGAGCCATAAGTGGACACACCTTTTATGGACCTAAGTTTGGGGGGACTCCCAGTGTGAGTAAACCCAAGCCTTTGTAAGCAGGTTCTACTACTGTGGTTTCAGCAAGCATTGCTTGAGCACCTACTATGTGCTTATTTTAGGGAACCTGCTTCTTAGAGGGGCCTCAAGGTTGGTCTTTTTGTAAAATATTCATGTTTTATAAATATTGCTTTTTGTGGGTCATAGAATATGAGAGGGAGAAAGAACCTTGGAGCACTGAAGATCAGAGCTGGGATGGACCTTAGAGCATAAAACATCAGAGACAGAAGCAACCTGGGACAGAACATCAGAACTAGGAGAGACCTTAGATCCTAGAACACAGAACATTCGAACTAGGAGAGACCTCGGAACACAGAACATAGAAAAGAGATAGAAGGCACCTTGGAACAGAGAATGGAGAACATCAGAGGGAGGAGAGATCCTGGAACACAGAACACGGAATATCACAGGCCGACTGGTCTGGCTCTTTTACCACCGAAGAACCAGAAAGACCAATATGGCACAGTTAGTGACAGGGGCCTTTGGGGTTAATCTCCCCTCTTCCTGTCCCTTTCTGCCCTCTCCCTGCCAGGTTCTCTGCCACCTTTGCCTTCTACTCCCTGGCCCTGGATCTGCAGCGCTTCCCTGGGGAAGATCCCTACTTGGTTCAGATTGTCCTGGGGAGCATAGATCTGCCCTTTCGCCTCCTGGTGCCCAAGCTGGCCAACCGTCTGGGGCGCAAGCTCACCTTGTCCTCCTGCATGATACTCGGAGCGGGATTCCTTCTGGGGGCCATCCCAGTGCCCCATGGTGGGTACAGGTGGGCTGGGCCAGACACCACCTGCAGAGAGGCAAGGGCTGGCCTTGACCCTCAGCTCCTCAGCCACCACCAGGGACAGCTTTGGTAGGAAAAGCCCTTGGGAGGTGGACCCGTGATGCCTGGGAGGATCCCAGGGCCTGGCCTCTAGCCCCAGTTAGGACGCACCCTCTGGTGCAGCCCCAGCTTCCTCCTCTCTACAAGGAGGTCCCTTTCTGCTCTGATGATTTAACAAACCTAAGGGAAATTCTCCTGGCTCGCACGGTCTAGGTGCCAAGCCGCCCACACGCTCTGACCGCTTGATCTCTGAGTTGGGTTGCTTCCCCATCCTTTCCCATTTGCCCCAAATCCCCCGTGCTCTGGGGTCACCATCCCTCGAGACTTCTGGTCTGGCTTGATTCTGGCCTCCATCCCTTGTGCCCACAGAGCTGGGCCGCCTTCGGATGGGGCTGAGTGTGCTGTCCAAGGGCTTCATGTCAGCCTCCACCAGCTGCAACATCCTCGTGGTCTCCGAGGTCTTCCCGACCTCCCTCCGGTGAGTTCCAGGACCTCCTCCTAACCCTAACCCTAACCACACCTGAAATCCTCTGGAGCCTTGGCAGGGTAGAAAGGGCCAGAGGGCTCTCTCTGCTAACCACCCTTTATTAAGCACTTCCTGTGTGAGCAGGACACACTGAGATCTGGACCCAGGTCTTAGCTTTGCCACTCTGGGCTGCATGACCCTGACGAGGCCCTTTCTCCCTGAGAGATGACTCCAAGGGTCTTCACGCTCTAAATCCTGGGACCTGTGTGCCAGGAATTCTCCGATGACCACGTGTGTTTGTGTGTGTGTGTCCGAGCCTGCGCCCTGACCCCCACCCTTTCTGCTGCTTTGCAGGATGACTGGGATGGGGGCCAGCAACATGGTGGGACACCTGGGAGGTGTGATGGCCCCACTGGTCCTGCTGGCGAGCCCGACGTTCCCCCTCTTGCCGCCCATACTCTTCGGTACCACCGTTCTGGCGGCCAGCATCCTGGTTGTCTTCCTGCCAGAGACAAGGGGTCTGCCCTTGCCTGACACCTTGGAGCAAGCCCAGAGCCGGTAGGTGACCTCCGGCCTTCCCTGGAGAAGATTCTGTCCCTGGGGGCCTTCCTAGGGGTTTCCTCCTCCATCCTCTCCCCTAACGCTGTGTCCCCCTCTGTGGCTCCCCACCCCTGGAGCCTGAAGTGGTCTGGGTACCTCTGGCCCAGGCTTAGTCACCCTTACACCACCCACTCACGTACTCAAGCTCTGCTGACCTCTTCTGCCCAGGTCTCCAGAGCTCCTTGAAGGGGCAAAAGGGAGGGGGCTAAGCCTAGAACAGGGTGAAACTGCCCTCCCATCCCCAGGGTCCATAGATGCTGGAGCAGACTGCTGAGAAGGCCACGGCAGGGGGCCCTGCCCCTCCAGACCAAGCTCTGACATCCTTGGGCTCTGCGCAGGGAGAGGACAGAGGCTCCATCGAGGCAGAAGGGGAAGACCTGCGTTGAAACCATGGCCTGGCCACGTCCTCTCTCTACAGGCCCTGGCTGACCTCAAAATTGCCCTGTTCTAGGGCCTTCCTTCTCCCCTACTCTAGGTCTCTTCAGGGAGTTTGCAAGTGGACTTCTCCCAACTGGGGTCAAGCCTGAGTAATGCCCCTTCTTACACATTTATTCATTCATTAACTCAAAAGCTCCATCCTAGTTACAAAGGGCTGTGGTTAAATATGAGAAACATGTTTTCATACATGAACTAACATTGCACAGATGGCCTTGTCATATCCATGACTCTCCGGACCCTGAGACCTGGTAGGAGTCCCAGGCCCCCTCACTGCCCAGCCAAGGCACCTCTGGGGCGTCTCTTTGGAGCAAGGGCCTTAGCGGGGATGTTGATGAAATGAGCAGATGCCCTAGTGTGCGTCCTGCTGGCTCCAAGATCCTCAGGATACGGTCACACTGCCTGACCCTGGAAATGGAGGCTGAGATGAGGAAGGGGAGATTCTCAGATAAATAAAGGGAATGCACCCTGGTCCCTCAGGGCCCCAGCCTCTTTCTGGTTATCTCCCCATCCCCTACACCCAGTCCCTATCTTCCAGACTGCCACTTTTGTTTCACTCAATAAACACCTATTGAAAGGAATTCCTTCTCCGGAGTTCTCATCTTGCTTTTCTACTAAATCACTGGCTGGGTGGCCTGAGGTGACTCTCTGGGCCTCAGTTTCCTCATCTGCAAAATGAAGCAGTCGGACCAGAGGAGGGATTCTTCACCCTTTGGCGTGTTTCCTGTACCTCTGGGACAGCTGAGGCAAACCCTGCTCAGAACCAAGTCTTTAACTGCATAACATAAAAGACATAGGATCACAATAGAAACTAATTATATTTAAATAGTTGGGGTTTTTTTAATCTTACAGATGCCAGGCTAAAATCCCTTGGAAGAGATGGTCTCAAAGTACTGTCTTGTTTTAGAATTATGCTCTTACACTAGCATTACTGTTCTCTTATTCAAAAGCATTTGAAGCCCTGGCCCCGGCCCCAGGTTCTGGGCTCAATCTTGAGGGCCTCCTACCACCCCACTTTGGCCCCAACACCAGTTTTGCCTGGGTATCATTTTCACAGATGTGGGCAAGCACCCAGCTCACAATATCGGTGAAAGGCCAGCCTCAGTCTCTTGGGTTGCAGCCTCCACAAGGGGGCATCGAACGGAGCCCTGGACCCCCAGTCCTGCCTCAGACCTTGGACTAGCTGTGTGACCTTGGACAAGTCATTTAACTTGTGTGCCTCAGTTTCCTCAACCCTAAGGTGGGAACAATAAGAGCACCTGCCTCCCAAGGCTGGCTTGGTGATCAAAGGAGATGATAACGGTAAAGTTCTCAAATGGCCATTACTAGCTCAGCTTTTTTTTTTCTAGTCTGACTAGGCTCACAGCCTGGGTTGCTTAGTAGGTCCCACCTTTGATGCTGCCCCCCCCAATTCTCCTGGGCCTGGTTTTTGTGACACTGTCCAGTCTCCCGGTTTTCCTCCCACCTCTTTGCGCTCTCCTCATTACCTTCCCTAACTGTGGGTGTCCCCAAAGGGTGTGTTCTTGGCCCTCTTCTCTTCTGCTCCTCTAGTCCCTCACTCTGTGATTTCATCAGCTCCTGGGAGTTCCAATGACCATCTCTATGCTGCCCCTGCCCCTGGCTCTCTCCTGAGCTCCCACTGCCCAGGGGACATTTGGAGCAAGATGTCCCTGAGGTTTCACAAGCACAAAGGAGACCGTGATGGGGAACCCCTGAGTACCTCCCAGATCAGAGGCAGCCCGGGTTCCTGTAACCTCGGCAGTCTTCTTACAAGATCACAAACACTGCGCTCCTGCCATACTGGGCACGCACAGGATGGGCCATCTACCACCTCAGAGCCTTTGCCCCTGTCTGGCATGCTGGAGTCTGGCCCAATTCCTCCTAGTCCTCCCAAATGGAAGCCCCTGGAGGGCAGGGCAGGTCTTTCTGGTCGGGAGCTCAGCCCAGCAGAGGTGGGGGCAAGGACCCTGCCCAAGTCAATCCCATCACACCCACACCCACCCACCCAGGGAGGGGACACCGGCCCTAACAAAGGTCTAATCTCAGGTGCCCTCCCCTCCCTCGGGCTCCCAGACCCTCCAAGGCCAAGTTCTTTACCTGGACTTCAGTGCCCCGCCCCGCCCCCTCCCCACTTGGCCCTGGTTACCCTTCCAGCTTAGCCTCACGTACTCACCAGGAGGCGCCCCCGGCCCCCCCCAGGAGGGTCTCTCCTCGGACCCCCGACCCCCTGGTCCTCTGCTCTGGGATGGTCCCAAAAAGCTTCCTGGGGTGGGAGTCAGGGAGCTAAGTCCCAGGCTGTCCCTCATTACTAGAGTGACCGCGACGAAGTCCTTCCTTTCCTCTTCCCGAGGTTCAATTTCCCCACCTGTAAAAACGAGGGGGTTGGGCACGAAGCTGGGGATAAAGTTTCTTCCGGCTCCAGAGTGGTAATTGATCAGACACTGTCCCTTTAATTCGTGACCCAGAAGCTGGGAGGCGGGGCGGGTAAGCACATGCGCATTGCGCTTCGGGACTTATTTCTCGAGCACCGCCATCACGAGTCTCCCGCGGCCACACTTCGAAGCGGTCAAGGCGCTCGGGCGCAGGCGCAGCTCGCCATCACGAGACCTATGTCGCTCCGCGAGAAGCCGGGGCTCTTTCCGGAGCCCCGCCCCCAAGACCAATCAGCGGGCCTCGCTCTCCAGTCCGACCAATGGCGGCGAGACGAGGGCGTGGCCTGGCGCCGGGTTGAGCGGCGGGCCGAGCCGGGGGCTCGAGTGAACGGCGCGGCCGGCGGCGCAGGCGGGTAGTTCCCGGCCATGTCGCGCTGGCTGTGGCCGTGGTCGAGCTGCATGAAGAAGCGGGCCTGCCGCTACCTGCTGCAGCACTACCTGGGCCACTTCCTGCAGGAGCGGCTGAGCCTGGAGCAGCTCAGCCTGGACCTGTACCAGGGCAGCGGCGGGCTGCGGGACATCCACCTGGACGTGTGGGTGAGCGGCCGGGGCCGGGGAGGCCGGGGAGCCCGGGCCTCGGCAGGGCCCCCATTACACGGATGGGGCAAAGCGAGGCCGGGCAGAGACAGTGTTCTCGGGGCCGCGGCCCAGGCTCCCCTCATCAGCCTGGCGGGGGAGGGAGGGGACAGCTGGGGAAGGCGGCCCCCACCCCCGAGGAGGAAGACACTCCCCCCAACTACAGGTCTAAGAGGAGAGGGGCCTCGAGGCTGGAGGAGGAAGGAGAGTGTCCAAGAAGTGTCACAGAGCTGAGGGCAGCCCCCCAAGTCCAACTGCCTTTCTCCTTTAGAATTTGGGGGAGAGGGGTTTTAGGGCTGGAGGAAGAAGACAACCCCCAATTACGGGGCTAAGGGGAGAGGGGCCTCGGGGCTGGAGGAGGAAGGGGGCAGGCCCCCCCAAAACCAACCCCCATTAGAATTTGGGGGAGAGGGGTCTTGGTGCAGAGAGTTGGTGAGGGGGCCTGCAAACCCCCGTGGGACAGGTGGTGGTCTGGGAGGGGATCCAGGCAGCCCTTCCCCCACAGGCTCACAGTTAGGGGGCTCTGCAGGACAGGGTGCCTGGGGGCTGGGGAGGGCACCCCAGGCCGGGGCTACCCACCTGTCTGGTGGCCCTGATGTCAACAAGAAACCACGTCAGTCTGTGTGTTGATTTACATGCCATGGGGCTGTTTGGCAACAATTGTCACTTCCGGCCGGGGCAGGGGCCGAGCTGGGGCTGGTGGCAGGGGCTGCCGGGGGGCCCTGACTCTTGTAGAGGAGCCCCAGGGGAGGAGTAGGGTCAGAGGGAAGGGCAGGATGCAGAGTCAGGACACTCAGGGGCTTGGGGGGCTTGGGGAGCACAGAGTGGAGACGGAGCTCAGGTGCTAGATGGGTGATTCACAGCTCAGCTGACCCAAGCACTCATAGAAGGAAGCACAAATTACAGCCTTCGGACCCACACCCAAAGCCTGGGCTTCTTCCCTTGACCCTGGGCCAAAGCTCAGGTCTTTGGATTCCTGAGCTCCTCCGGGACTGGGAAACTGAGTCAAAGTGGGGCTCCCTGGCAGGGTCCCATGGGGAGAAAGGCTGGAGTAGAGTATAGGAGCTTGGGCTGGCAGTGGGTTTGGGGGCTCTGAAGGATCATGGGAAGCTGGCCCAGAAGGGGCAGACCTAGGGAAAGTGGGCAGAGCCCTGGGGACTGGGGGGCTGAAGGGGAGGGGTGCCCTGGGAGAAAAGGGGCAGACTGAGTGGGGAGGGGGGCTGGGAAACAAGGTGGAGGCACTTGGGGACCAGGCAACCCCAGCCCCCACCTCTGGAGGGGAGGGAGACTTCTGTGTCTGACCTGTGACCTCAGCAGCTGGGCTGGTCTCATGCCCGCCCCTCCTCTGTGATTGGGCAGGCTGAGAGTAGCCTTAGGCCCATGGACCACACCTCCTTCCCCTCCTCTAGAGGCCAAGAAAACAAGAGTTGGGGCTCTTCTGGGACCCTCACTCACTGGCTGGGGCTTCCCAGGCCAAGAATTGCATCCATTTCTGGGGGACACTAGAGACAAGAAGGTGTCCCCAGAGACAGCCTGGAGCGGAGGCCTGTGCCATGAACCTTCCTGCCAGGGGATGGAAGAGGCAGGGCTAGAGTGAAGCCCCCCCAGGTCGGGGGGGAAATTGTTCATGAGTGGGTGCTGCCTCCTGAGGCCTGGGAAGGGGTGGTGGTGATCAGGGCAGAGGGTGCATGCCCACCCAGAGGCTGCCTGCGGGCCTCAGGGGACACAGTAATGCTGGCTCTGCCATTGACCTCGCCCTTGTGACTTTGGGCAGGTCTCTTTCTTTGGACCTCAGTTTCCTCATCTGTAAAATAGGGGTGATGAGTCCTTAAGGGTACGAGTCATGGACTCTTGCTCCCCTCTGTTTCTGTTAATGAGTGATACTCTTAGGTCGTTTCTCTGGCCCTTCTGAAGTGGCATTGTCTTAGAGGGCCTGGGGGGAGTCAGTTCTGGAGCTGAATTGGAATCCTGTCCTGATGCTGACTAATGGGGGACCTTGGCCAAGGCATTTAGTCTCCTCAGTCTCGGTTTCCCCATCTGTTAAGTGAGGACAATAATAGTGTTTTCCTCACTCGCCAGGCTGTGAGGCTCTGATGAGACTTTGTGTCAGGTCTACTGCAGTTCATTGTTGTTCAGTCTCTTTGTGACCTGGTTTGGGGTTTTCTTGGCAGAGATACTGGAGTGGTTTCATCATTTTACTGATGAGGAAACTGAGGCAAACAGGGTGAAGTGACTTGCCCAGGGTCACACTGCCAGGCACTGTCTGAGGGCAGATTTGAACTCAGGTCTTCCCTATTCCAGGCTGAGGCACTGCGGTGCCACCTTATGCCTGGCATTTTTATCCCCATTTTGCAGATGAGGCCCTAGGAAGTTAGGCCCTGCTCTGGGGTCACCCTGAGTGAAGCTCTTCCCTCTTCGGGCTGTGTCCAACTGGGGTGACCTCAGGCATCCTAAGACCCTGACAGATGCCACGTCCAGTGACTTCACTCCCTAAACATCCACATGCTTTAATCCTAGTCTGTGAATGAGCTGCTGGAATCCGTGGAGTCCCCCCTGGAGCTGGTCGATGGCTTCGTGGGCTCCATTGAGGTGGTCGTACCCTGGGCCGCCCTCCTCACCGACCACTGCACCATGCAGGTGTCTGGCCTGCAGCTCACTCTGCGGCCGCGGAGTGGCCAAGGTGAGGCTGGGGCTGCGGCCCCAGGAGGAGAGGGGAAAGGGGCCTTGGCGGTGTGGGTTCTGGGAACTCCCGGTACTGACCTCTGCTTCCTGTAGTGCCTGGGACGGCCGAGTCCCAGAGCTGGACCTCGTGCATGACCACCAGCCTGCAGCTAGCTCAGGAGTGCCTTCGGGAGGGGCCCCCCGAGCCCTCCGAGCCCCCCCAGCCCCTGGAGGGCCTGGAGATGTTTGCCCAGACTATCGAGACTGGTGAGTAACCTGGCCCCAGGCTCAAGGCCTTCCCTTCCTCTGGCCTTGCTCCTGCCCCTGGGCCCTAGGGTGGCCCTCGTGTCCCCCTCACCCCTTCGCTCCTTGCCATAGTCCCTTTCCTTTGCTGCCTCTGAGTCAGGGGCCCGGCAGAGCGTCCAGACCGTGATTGGCCCCATCTGCCTGGAGCTCAGTTGGGCCTGATGCTGGCCTCTCCCGCCCCAGTGCTCCGGAGGATCAAGGTGACCTTCCTAGACACCATCGTGCGGGTGGAGCACGCGCCAGGTGGTGGAGACAGCGGCATGGCTGTGGAGGTCCACATTCAGAGGTGGGGAGGGAACCTGGGGGAGGGACAGGAAGCAGAACTGGACTGGCCACTCTCCCACCTCCACCCCTTTGCCTGGAATGAGCTCCCTCCTTCCCCGGGCCTTTTCAGATGTCACAGTGTCCATGAAGCCCTTCCTGCTGTGCCCTGTCCGTTGGGGTCCCCCCTTTCCTTGGGGCCAGGGGCTCTTTCTGCTTCTCTGTCAGCACCCCCAGCATGGTGCCCGGCCCTGAGTTAGTCGTATGTGGCTCCTCCTGACCTGGGGTCTCCCCCTCACCCCCCCAGACTGGAGTACTGTGATGAGGCTGTACGGGACCCGAGCCAGGCTCCCCCTGTGGACGTGCACCAGCCCCCTGCCTTCCTGCACAAGCTGCTCCAGCTCTCGGGTGTGAGGCTTCACTATGAAGAGTGTCCCCCCCATCAGGTGGGAGCATGCTGAGGGCTGGGGGGGAGAGATGGGGGAGGGGAGGGAGGACGGAACAGGACAGGACAAAGAGGGGAAGGGGGATGGGAGATGACAAGAGGGGAGGGGTGCGCAGGAGAGGGAGAAGGAAGGGAACTGGAGGGGAAGGAAGCATAAAGAGAGGGAAGAGGGGGGACCTCCCCACTCAGACACTCTGACCTCTGCTCTCTTCCTCCAGGAAGAGTCCCCTGGACCCCCACTGCAGATCGGCAGCTGCTCCGGGTACATGGAGCTGACCATAAAACTGAAGCAGAACGAGGCCTTCCCTGGGCCCAGGGTAGGGAGCAGGGGCTGCCCAGGACCTGGGGGAGAGGGGCTGCCTGGGGGAAGCTGAAGCAGTAGGTGAGGGCATCAGCTAGGGTCAGAGTCGAGGCCTCCTGACTCCTCCCAGAAGCCCAGGGCAGGGCAGGGGTCTGGAGGCCACAGGGAGAGGGAGGGGGCTGCTGAGAAGTAGATGGAGGGACCTCCGAAACACACGCCAGGTTCTGCCTGCACGGATGGAGGCCGGGCCGAGGCCTAGAGAGAGAGGGGCTCTCTCCGCGGGGCCTTGGCCCTGGCGTCCCTTCACTGTTCACGCCGCGCTGGTCTCACTGGATGGACGGTCCGCTCCGGCTCTCGGGCTCTGCGCCCGCCACTGACCAGTCTCGTCTCCCCCCATCTCTTCAGATGGAGGTGTCGGGGCAGCTAGGCTGCCTGCACTTACTCCTGGCCCCCCAACATCTCCTGCAGCTGCAGGACCTCCTCAGTGCCCTCAGCCTAGCCGGTGAGGCCCCGGCCCAAGCCAGGGAGGGGTCGGGGCTGGGATGGAGCTGGGTGGCAGGAGCCTGAGGGTCTGCTGTGCACTCCCCCCAGACACAGAGGGGCTGTCGGAGAAGGCAAACAAGAGCCGTCCCCTCGGGGCCGAGGACTTGCGGCTCATCGAGCAGGACCTGAGCCAGCAGCTGCAG